TATGGATGCCATATCGGATTTTGGTACAGATAAATAGTGTTTTTAATTATAAATAAATGATTTATTTGAGATGGGATTTCTAAATAAATTGCATGTTGTCATTCTTACTTGTTTTCGTCTACGAGATGGCATAGTCATATTTTCAATTCGAGATTTTTTCTTTCGACTTCCAACACCAACATTGTTTTTCAGTACTGAATTCAGTTGAAATTTTCCTTAGTTGGTCATGAATTTGCTATTGGATGAAAATTATAAGGAAGTAAGAAGGTACGGTAAAACGAAAATTTTATTGATGGTAATAACCATAATAATCATAAATAAGCAGATTTAAATCATAGCAGATGTTCAAAATGTTGTCGGTTATTTTGTAGACAAAGCCTAAGTCTTCTCTCTCCATTGTACACTGCTCGATTTATCTCCCTTCTTACAGACTTTCCTATGTTCTATTTGAGGTCTGGTTTGGTATACAAAACACTGACTATCTGAAAATTTCAATGCCTTCCTAGGAACTTCTGTTTTTCTGGAATAACTAATGTTTAGCAACGTCAATGTATGAGGCATAATTTTTTTTGTCCTGTTATTGCACTGGTCGATGACCAAATAATAACAGAAAATAGAACATCACTACTTACTATACTATTTCTATTTTAGTTACATCGATTATGCGATCCTTTATAGACCAATTCGTGTGTGCACTTTTCCTGTGGAGCTTCAACTACGCTTATGATCGATTTGCTTAATTATTTCGTATGGTATTGATGACGTAAACGCCAAAAACCGTGAAAAGAACTATAGGTGCTTTTTGTTTTAATTATTCACCTAGGGAAAAAATTGGCTACTTCTCACTGGGGCATTGCGGTCAATAATGTTAATGCCTCGGGTTAGTAATGAAAACAAAAATGATTCAAGAACTCACATGACCTGGTTGTCGAGGCCATGGTAAACGATAGCTGCCTGCCGGGCTGGGCACGGAGGTAGCGTATGGAGAAACTGAATTCGACCATGAGGTGGCCATACTGTTCGTAGTCTGTATACTTGAATTATATCAGCATAGGTAACATTCCTGACATTCTCGTATATATCAGCAGGGACAATTATATTTGCAAATTGTGTTTTGCTATTTTTCATGAAATTGTAATTTTCGCTTATACGCTTTCTAATTTTGAAGATCATCTAGATTAAGTTTAAGATTAATTATTTTTTACATTCGCACTATCATATAGCTATTTTTATTGATAAAATGTCAATCATATAAATAGTAAACGTGGAATTTTCCAATAAGAACTAGTCGATGTTGGCATGGAATAAAATAAGCTGTGTGAGGTATTAACGATTACTTAATAATTGAAATGTCCAGTTTATGTCATTACAGTGGCTTGCGTCCGAGAACTCCAAGTTTCAGCGGCTTTTCGGTATACTTCGTACATCTAGAACAGGCCGATACGACCGCTCCTTTGTCCCTATGGTGTTGAGATTGTAGAACAATCTACAAGATGAAGCTTTTCCCATTTCTACTAACTTTAGGCATTCCAAAAATGGGATTAACGAAGTTTCTTTGGGATCCTGATAGTATCCGCGGTGTCCTGGAATTTACGCTTCTGCCTGCGCAGCTGCTTCGGTGTAAAAAAAATAAGTGAATTTGCGTGGTCGTCTGGTTCATGTCGAATTTAAGGACATCACTAGATTATGGTTTATTAGAATAGACCTGTCACTCCATAATGCATATTTCCAATTAAGGATATATTCTGAATTGAATTTTGGCAGAACAGTATATATTCTGCACAAATTTTGCAAATGCTAGAAAAGGGTGATATGGGCATGGGAATCTTCTTAGATCTATCCAGAGCATATGACTGTGTGAATCGAAGTTTATTATTGGAAAAACTAAATTTATATGTGGTGTTTGAAATGCGTTAATAAGTCATACCTCATACCTTACAAATATGCAACAGATAGTGAAAATCACTTGAAATAGTAAGATATATGTATATGTTGAGGCCTGTAGAAAATAATTTAGACATTGATTGGGGCAGTATTGCAGGGTCATTATTATTTATAATTTAACGTGACGACCTTGTTTCCGTAGTAGAATCAGATAATGAATGTATCACATATTATGCTGACGATACTAACCTACTTACTGGAGGAAAACATTTGAAATTATGACCAGATTAGAAACACAATTATTTGAAAAGGCTGGTGAGTGGGTCACAGTGAACAAGTTAATATTATACAAATAAAAAAATCGTAATAATCAGACGAGGCAGGCAAATGCTATCATACAGGACAAAATTATGCTAGGTCAAATGGCAATCAAAATGTCAGGCCAAACTAAATTTCTTCGTGTACACCTAGACGAATTTTTAAACTGGACATATTATGACGTAGAAGTTTTGTCTTAGAAACTGAATATCATATGCTATGGGTCGTTAAGAAATATATGAAAGAAAAAGCTTTAAAAATCATTCATCTTGCGAATTTCGCGTCTGTTATTAAATATGGGATAATTTTTTTGGGTTGTAGTGGTATGACAAATAAAATATTTGTAATTCAGAAAATAATGCTGCAGATTATAAAATGGGGCTTAAACAAAGTTGTAGAGGTGTTTTTAAATCCTCTGAAATATTAGCTCTTTATGGAATATATATTTATGAATGCCTTATGTACTTTTTCAAAAGAGATGATTTGACAACCATAGGTGGTATTAAGAAATTTACATCTAAATCAAGAATATGTTGATTGATTTGGAATCTTACTCTTTGCAAGACTATGTAGGTACTAATAGATGATTTTATTCACTCCTTTTGTTAACGCAATTTTCTTTTTGTATCGGTACGTAATACTTTGTATATGGATAATGTACGTATATAACACAATCAGAAATATAGATTTTTATTGTTATTATTTTTATTTACTTTCAGTCTCTGCGACCGTAACCGTTGTTTCATGATTTTTAGCTTCTAAGAAACTAAATAAGCACGTTCAACACATAAGCGCTCCATCGCCACTCGGCGAACTCCCATGCCCTCGCCATGCTACCAGCATTGACGTACTATTCAAAAGTTGCATAAACTAAACACGTTCGCTTTCCATCTCTGCGACCATAACCGACAGTATAAAACTTTGTTTAATGCTTTTTAGCAATTATTAATACGGTATAGGCCTAGTCTTTTTTAGACAGATGACGGAAAGCAATCAGGCTGGTCTATTGAAGAACAAAGGTGACATTGCCAACTATGAGTAGTACCGTACGTAGGGCTTGGTAGTACCGGCGTAGGTGAAACTACTCAAAGGTGGCAGTGTTACCTTTATTTCTTCGCACATTCTGAATTTTTACCCAGTTGTAAGAGTAAGTGTTGAAAATGCTGTTTTTCTTAACAACCTCACTAGCTTTTAGGAAATGTATTGTTTTCCTTATCGATAAAGGAAACTGTATTTTTCTATAATTTCAATGGTTGAAATTAAGTATAATAAATCGTCTATGTCTACATCGAGGTTGGATCTACTAAATCACTTAACACTAACAATGTGGAAAAAGTCACTCAAATTACATCGATGTAACGATAACGAGTTGCTAATTAAATTTATTACCGTATACTATAATTATATTAATCATAATTATCACTAAAAGGTGTTTTTATGTAGTTGAATAGTTTGAAAGTTTTTGTGAAGTGAGCAGTGATGCTTAAGTGTAGGTAACAACTCAGTATTCGGTTCTATCACATCCGAATATTTTCTAATTTTATTACATTCTGTGACAAAAGAATAAAAATAACCATAAAAACAAATTTGTTTACTAATATACATTATAAATGACATTTTATCACTTATGATACATGTTTATTTCTTAGTTAGTATTTTGGAGACTAAATTCGAACAAGACCTTTTACATTGTTAACATTGAATGACGTGTTATCAAACACGTCGACAAAGCAACATTGTTTTGTATTTTTTGCGTAATATTTTTTATTTTAAGAATCAGATTGACCTCCGAAAGATTTCTTATCAAACAATTTGCGTATAATTTTACTATTCTAGTTTCTCAACCTTCTTGCGCGAAAGTTTCCTTGATTTTTGAAAAACCATGTTATTTATTATTTCCGTCGATCTCTCTATCTGTCCAATAGTCCTTGGTCCCTCTGTAGCACAGAAGCTACCATCATTTTGATAAAATGTTGACACTTGCTTCGCAGTGAAGAAGGTTCTTTTATCTCAAAGCAGCTGCGTAGGCTCAAGCCTAAATACCAATCCGTGGAGTTCACCCGCGTTGGCATTTTTGGATGAAGAGGAGAACCCGTCAATTAAGACGGTAGCCATAGGACGGAGGTTTGCATAAACGGGCAGTATGTCATATCTGATCGAAAGCTTTCCTGATATCAAAAGCAACAACATGTGCCTCACCATAAGCCTGAATGAGCTTGCTCCACAACTATGTGACCTCCGCTAGGCGCCCCCCGTTGATCGTTGGTTCCGAGAACCATCCCTCTCCCTAATCAAGCCGTGATGTTTGAGATACTCTAGAAGCTCCCTATTTAAGCACTTCTCCTTCGCCTTATGGATAACGGAAAGAAGAGCTATGAGTCTGTAGTTGTGTCGGTTGTATATCCTTTTTTTGTTTTGGACAGGCTGGATATGAGCAATTATCTGGGAAAATTTCGGAATGGTAAGATACATGAACAGGAGAAAGAGATGAAAAAGTTTTGTAGTTTTTGGAAATCATTGCAGCAAAATCATAGTCGAAAAATGGTTGTCACAAAAAAGGGTAGCATTTTATTCACTGACGTTTCTTGGTCACTTTCAATAGAAAACGTGCATGGATGAAAAACTAGTGACATTACGTGGAAAGTCATGTAGCTGACACCATCTTATTGTCTACAAAGACGCAATAGCATTCATTCAGTAACATAAATCGAACTCTTATGAGTCTAAATTTTTGCCACCTGCCAGATGGTTAATATGGAATCAATATAACATATTAAACTTTTCTTATTTTATTACAGACGCGGCTCCTGAGGAACGAGAGGAGCTATTCGTGCAAAAACTTAGACAGTGTTGCATCTTGTTCGACTTTGCTACAGACCCGCTTAGCGATTTGAAATGGAAGGAAGTGAAAAGGACGACTCTGCAGGAAATGGTAGAATATGTGACGCAGCAGAAAGGAGTTATTACGGATACTATTTATGCAGAAGCAGTGAATATGGTAAGGAAAATTTTTATAAAATTTCTCATAAACACATAAAAACCAACCATAAAAAAGTTAGTTACCAACATCTATAACAGGTAAATTAAACGGATCAAGTCAGTTAAACAGGCCCACACAATTAGCCCTAGACTCCAGATATTCATGTGGCAAGGTCGCCTTTACCCGATACCTGACGGTACAACGCGGCTGTAACGCCAGTACACTTATCAAGACCGGTGATCCCAGACAGCGTCGCCCTTTTTTCAACAGTCTGTCTGGAGGAATATTCTTAATATATTTCGTCTGATTGTTGACTGAATAAACAATATTATCAGTTTGTTTGTCTTCATTAAATACATTTTTGTGCATTTTTTCTTCAATCGTAATTTGTTAACAAATAATAGTACAGCTCTAAAATTATATTTCACCTTTATGGAAGAATTGAGCGGGTAATTACCGTTTTCCATAACTTTCTCTCTTCAGAAAAACATAACTTTTCTGGAAGACTGAATTTGCTGCAAAATGAGGATTCACGAAAATCAAAGATTCTTCGAAGGGAAAAAGTGATAAGAATCACCCGCTCAATTGTACTATAAAATTGGAATTCTGAGATGTGTACTAATGTTTGTTAACAAGTTACAGTTTAAGAAAAAATGCGCGAAAGAAGCATTTTTTACATAAAAATTGATAACATTGTTTTTTAGTCATCTCTATAAACACCGTGAAATAACCAGATGAAAATAATTTAGAATACTGCTCCAGACAGCCGAGCAGAACTACCAAGGTTGAGAACGTATAAACATACTGAAATTAAAAATGAGATAACCCTCCTCCGTCCTCCCCAATTTTTTACCTGTAAGAAATGTTTCAAAAATGATGTTTCAACGGTTTTTATTTTTTTTTATTTTTCTTCGCCGCCACTGTACCGTTTTACCGTTTTTTTAAAACAGCAAAACCTTTTCATCTTTGGCATAGTAGTAACCTTATGTGAAAATTTCATCGAACTGTGATCGGAACTTTCCAAGTTACGGGCCATGGATTAGCGGACAGACAGACAGTCGTGATGTACATGCCATATAACAACCAAAAACTGTAATATCTAATTTTCGAAATTTTTCGCGATTACAAAATACTTCTTCGCCAGCAGGCGTGGAAAGTAATAACATCAAAATGAAAATACCGCAAGTATTGAAAGGACAGAATAACTCGTTTGAAGGATGTGCTTTGGCGGTCGAACGGTTGCCGTAAAACGAAAAACGACGTTTATAAGGCTTCTGGCTATTATCACAAAATTGGAAGTGTCAAAAATTGGGGATAACAGTTTATAAGATATGCTATTGATATATTCTGGCTCCGGTAATAACACACACCTGTAGGACATATTTTATTCATATTGTTCATACATTTGCCCTTGATGTACAGAAATATTTTAAATAGGGGTAGACGAACTTTACAATGCATATAACTGATACGAGGGTATGGCGAAAAGTACTCGGCTTGACAATGAAAGACTGCGACTTTCAGTTACAAAAGATTTTATTTTTTGGTCCAACGTTTCTTCAGCATTAGGATTTCTTCTCGGAAGTGGAATGATACCCCAGATTCTGCAGTTTTCCCATTGTTAACACACCTTTGTAAACAGGTACGTTGTCCTGATGGAAAACGGTATTTTTCTTCCTCAAGCCTGAGCCGGTATTCCCGTTCCCGCAAAGCGTTTCAAGTTGCTCAGCGACATTGATGTCATTGCACTTACTTTCGATGCGCTTATAAAATTATGGTATTCCTGTTTGTCTCGTGCTTGGCGTTTTTGAAAATCACTTGTCGAATATAAAACGCCTGCTAGAACGTTGGTGTTTTTTGCTTATCGCAGTCTGGGTTTAAGATTCGAGGACGATGACCCCTTTAAATTCTCGAAGCTCGTAAAAAAAATTGTAAATTTATACCGTGTAAGAAAACAGGATATGCAAAGTTTGGATAAAATGCCACAGCCATTTTTACCCGTGCCTTATAGATCGCTCGAGATAAATAATAAAGCAAAAGTAACAATAAACTACTTGTACTTGTAAGACTGACATAAAATACATATAGTAATGAAGCACTGATGGTTTTATTATAAATCATTTGGTTCTCCAACTACCTACTGTAATATCAATGAATAAAGCCAACTGTTCTCCTGTTGACGTAGTATACAGATGCTTATATGAATGCGGCATTATTTTCCTTCATAACGACTGCATTGCATTTCTTTGGTAGTGGAAGCTGCCAACTTGACTTAGACAACGCACTGTAACTCTCAGTCGGTCATCTCTGTTAACTGAGAGTATGTTAGTAACATTAAAAAAGAAGCGTTGCCAAGATGTGCCAGGTGTATTGAACTTGAGGCGTTCGCACATCAAAGTGAATACCCAAACCAAACGCCTAATGCTTTTGCAGTACATGATTTGCTAAGCGTTTTGAAAACGTATCGTTTTCGAACTAACGATCAAGAATATGGTTTCTAACCCCTCTACTCACGAATTTTTGATGAAGGAAGTAGGACTAGTATTTCCCGTAATTGTTCTAGCCTTTTCAAAGTAATCAATTAGCAGAATACCTTTCGGATGCCAAAACACACTGGCTATGACCTTTCCGGTAAATGCTATCGACTTATTTGGTGCTGAACCTCCAGCTACCACAGACTGCTTCGAATAGTGTTTTGTTTATGGCGTTTAGTGATGGACACATCTTGCATCTATAGTAACAAATCACCGCACAAAATCTGTCGGGTCCCTATTAAACTGGTCCTAACATCGCTGCGAAGAATTTGAAGGCAGCGCGATAGATTAAGTTTATCTGTTTTGAAGAAAATCACGCAATACGTTCACTTCTGAAATTTGGGTATACAAACTAAGTGCAAAATTGTCATATGAACAAATTACATATTCACTCCTGCAGAAATTATACATTTTCGCTTTTCAGTCAAAGAACTTTTCATCTTTGTCTCGTATGAAACAACAAAGGGAATTTTTAATGTAAATTGAGAGTAAATACTCTCAGAATTATCCACTGTTTACAGTGAAATAAGCTTGGCGACTGTTTTGATTGAATTTTGCAATGATCGATTATGGAAATTTTTTGAGTTTTTGGAAATTTGGATTTCTGAATCTGTAACGGTTCAAAACAATTTCTTTATCCACTACGATTTCTAAAGAACCATGCACAGAGTCAACCTATATGTCGTCGCGGTTTTAGAGGGGGTTTCTTCAGAAGAATTGATGTATTGCGTTTTTGGCAGTTTGCTGTCAATTTGTTCCGGACCTTGCCGCCCTCCTCGAATCCCAACGGTGCCGAATTCGATCCTGAAGAAGATGAGCCAACTTTGGAAGCTGCTTGGCCTCACCTTCAGTTAGTATACGAGTTATTCCTAAGGGTTCTGGAAGCGCCCGATTTCCAACCAAACATCGCTAAGAGATATATTGACCAGAAGTTTGTTCTTCAATTGTTGGACTTATTTGATTCTGAGGATCCAAGGTATGTTTATCATGCAATATAGTCCTATTTTGTTGCTATTCAGCGTGTTGTGAGTCATTGTATGCTCCACGATTTGAAACCACCTCATAACATTAAATTTATTTTTAGAAGAGAGAATTTCTTTCAGTTAAAAAATTATTAACCAAAAGTTACAAGGGTAAATAAAACACAGTTTCTAAATGAAATCTGTGGTTGTGTCTTTGACTTTTTGAAAAAAAATAAATATTCGGCCGTCACGCTAATGCTAGCTTAGGCGCACAATATTACATTTTAAGAAGGAAGAATTTTATGTACTGAATGAATTAATTAGTGAAATTTATAGAAGGGTAAGCAAAAAACTATTTGAAAGTAAAACTCTCTTACTAGAAAATACCACGATGAAACATGAATAGTGTATATGTATTCTCTTATTGAATAATTTATAAACATTCATTAGTTATGTACAAATATTATAAAATTATGGTTTGAAGCACATGCTTTGTATTTCACCTACTTAATTATTCTTTCGTCCAAAATATGAGTTCCAAATTAGTATTTTTGTTTATACTTGAACCATCACAAAAGCCTAAGGCCTAAACACTCATGGGTATGAGGGATACAGGAGACAGGAGTTATGTTGCCGTCATTTAGCACTTTATTAATTGATATAATAATTGCATTGTATTCCTTTTTACTAGCTCATCACTTTTGGTTTATATTAACGATTGTATCTTAATTATCAGTCAGTCATTCAGTCTCAGTCACAGCGAACACACACACTGTAAATCCGGTTCGGTCCATGTAAACTATTGTTGGAATCAAATAGTTTTTTTAAAAACGAAGTTTGAAGTTCCGACTACATAATTGGCGCAGCCCGCAGTAGGATTCCCAAAGGGCCGATTAGCCCTTGAGTCCGAACTCTTAATTGGGAATCACGAACCTCCGTGACGAGCCGGTACGACTGAAAAAAGAAGAAAGAATTTGGACCACAAGTGCCCTTTGTCCTGTTGAAGTCGACGTCCACCTGAGGAACCTAGGCCAAGAACGGGATGAAGCACTGGACCTATCAGTAAGTGCTCATTGTATCCTTATTTTTTCATGAGTGACTCACCCCGACCTGTACATCCTTTCGAAGGTGATAGTGCAGATCAAATCGCTAATCGCATAGCAAGCTTAGAATTAGGAAGTAGAGAAATAAGACAAGCATACGAAACTATAGAAAAGATAATAATGGCGACCCCCAGTAGAAATAGTGCCCCCCAGTTCGACATAAAATTACTCCAAATTGTCCCAGAATTTGATGGGAATCCCTGTAGACTATATAGATATTTAGAAGTAAGTACAGATTTATTAAATAACTATTGGAACACTGACGATACAGGATGTGTCCAAAACAAAATACTGCTGCATGGCATTTTCTCGAAATTGACTGGTGCTGCAGAGCAAGTATTTTCTCTTAGCGGTTCCACAGACTGGAACAGCATAAAAAATTTGCTAATTGCTCATTTTGGTGATCAAAGAAACGAGAGTAGTCTTATCTCAGATATGACTGCCCTTAGACAAAATTCTAATGAAAGCTCTTTACAGTTTTATTCTAGAGTTATAACCATGCTGAATCATTTACATAACTATATAAATATTCATGAAACAGTTGATGCTATTAAAACAAGTAAAAAGGCACTGTATGATAGTCATGCATTGCATACACTTTTGGTAGGTTTAAAGGAGCCACAAAGTTCCATGATTCGGTCGATGAAACCTAAAAATTTGGCAGAAGTTCAAGCTTATATTTTGAAGATAATCATAACGACGAAATGTATAAAAATCTCGCGAACCTTGTATCTAATACATTCAAAAATTCTGCGTTCAAATTAGTTAAGTGCCGTAAAAAGCTTGAAAATATTACTGACGTTTTGAGACAAGAGGAAATCATGAGGTATAATCACGAAATCAAAACTAATCACCGAGGAATCATTGAGACTGTAAACCAAATTAAAAGAAAATATTATTGGCCCCACATTGATGATGACGTGAAGTTATACGTCAATACTTGCGATATTTGCCAGCAAGGCAAATATGAAAGACATCCACCTAGAATTGAATTTGAGATTACCCCGACAGCTAAAATGCCATTCCAAATTGTTAGATGTATATCAAGCTAACAATAAGAAATTTTTAACAATAATTGACAATTTTTCAAAATATGCGCAAGCCTTCCCAATCGAAGCAGCTGATGCTATCTCTGTTGTAGACAATTTGATCAAATTCATGTCATTTCATGGTTTGCCCATCCAAATTGTTGCAGATTCTGGTACTGAGTTCAACAACGCCTTAATAAAAGAGTTTGCAAAACTCCATAAGATAAAGCTACATTTTACAACTTCCAAATAGTAATTCACCTATTGAACGATTCCACTCCACTATAACAGAACATTTAAGAGCTCTTGCATTGCAATTTCCAAAAAAGGATGTTAATTCTTTGATGCCCTATCCAATCCTTGGCTACAATCAGTCCATACATTCAGTGACGAAACAAAAACCAATTGAAATTATTAACCGACATTTAGACGTTAGAGATCCTTTTAATCTAGACGTTGATCGAGAATTAATGAACAATTACCTTCAAGAACACAAGAATAGGACAAAATTAATTTATAGCCTTATCTATGACATGTCGAAAACCCAAAAGGAAAAGGTTATTCAAAAAGCTAATAAAGATCGCGAAAAACCGACCGACTATTCTAGAGAAAAAGTAGCGTACCGACGAGACGCGAAGTCCCGAGGTAAAAAGCTGAAACCACCCTATATAAAAGAACAGATTTTGACTGACAAAGGTTTAAAACTAAAAACCAATAGAAATATTTATCATAAAAGTATTTTCAAAAAGCCCAGAAAGAAAGTAACTCAAAATTTGTTACAGGATGATACTTCTTCTGATAGTGCATCTGACACATCAGTCCACGGTGAAGGTCACCAACCTTAAAACAAATCCTGGTATACTACCCTTCAGATTAGGCGATGCTAAAGTAAAAATAGGAACACATACATTTTTACACTATGTAGATTTTGAGCCGATAATTAAGGAAGTAAATTCGCTAAGTACAGTATTTCAAGAAATCAAGGACCAAACAGAAAGGAATAAATATAATTTAGGATTCATTCCAGATACACATTTTGCAGATATAGAACAGCATATAGTTTACTCGATGTCAAATTTGAAAAACAAAATAAAGTCCATATATCCATTCTGGAAAAAGCAATATCGTCCAAAACGAGGTTTAATAAATGGTTTAGGATCAATTATCAAAATGATTTCAGGGAACTTAGATGATGACGATGCTAAAAAATATGACCAGGCTATTGAACAATTACAGAAAAATCAGAATCAAGTAATTAAGACAGTTAATCAACAAATTTCCCTGACCCACGAGGTTCTCAAAAATAACAATTTAGCCTTATGGTTCACAATCAAGCTGTAATAGAACAAACTTTGGTAGAGATGCAAAAGGAACAATACATACTATTTTACTATTTTGGATACACTATTACAAATAAAGTTCAATTTAGATACACTGCTCTCTATAACTAGTAATTTGGAAAATGCCATCGCATTTGCCAAAATTGGGTCATTGCACCACAGTATTATTTCGATAGATGAATTAAAGTCAATATTCCAAATATTAGTCAAAAATCATAATAAAGCTCAGTTGGTGTATTCAGACATCAACGATATTTATAAGCTTTGCGACATAATTTCAGTAGAAGCATATTTTTCCCAAAATCGATTAGTTTTTGCCTAACATGTTCCGCTTTTGCACGTAGACAAATTTAAGCATTATCATCTTTATTCCATTCCTACTGTTAACCTAATTACCATCATTCCCAAAAATTCCTATTTCACAATGAGTACCAAAATGTACCAATATGATGCTGAACCATGTCAAATGATAGAAGATATTTTTATTTGCCACGAAAACAAAAAAATTGGTCCATGTAGCAGAAGAAGAAGACGATTGTCTATTTGCTATTTTACAAGTAAACAAAAAGCAGCCAAATTGTAACAAAATTCCCGTAACTCTTAAAATGGCCTTAATTGAAGAAGTTTCAGAGTCCAAATACATTGCTATTTTTCCGAAACCTGAAAAGCTGATAATCAAGTGTGAACAAGATGACGTCATAGAGTTAAAAGGCATTTACCTACTTGAAGTGCCTTACCAGTGCAGCATACAAACGAAGGACTACATTTACAAAAATCAAAACGGAACAACCATGGAAAAGCCGCTGTTGCTTCCAGAGGTCCATATTTCATAAAAAACAGAAAATCCAAAGGAAATCAAGTTAGTACATATTTCCTTAGATAAACTTCATCACTTGCAAGAACGAGCCGACCAAATACAGGTAGATCTTCCCGAAACAGTGAAACACCCCTACAAATGGAGTCTACCCCTGTATGCAATTATGTTAATTGGAATTGCATGCATTTTCGTGAAAAAGTATTACCAGAGAAGAAAAAGATCAAGAAGCCAGCATTTAGAAGAAATCGAAATGCAACCCCAGAGACACGAAGTTTTGTTTGTGCCCTCCAAAACTTCATCTTAAGGGTGGAGGAGTTATGTTGCCGTCATTTAGCACTTTATTAATTGATATAATAATTGCATTGTATTCCTTTTTACTAGCTCATCACTTTTGGTTTATATTAACGATTGTATCTTAATTATCAGTCAGTCATTCAATCTCAGTCACAGCGAACACACACACTGTAATTCCGGTTCGGTCCATGTAAACTATTTTTGGAATCAAATAAAGTTTTTTTAAAAACGAAGTTTGAAGTTCCGACTACATAATTCAGGGGTGGGGGGACGTCACACGGAATCTAGCAACATGCACACATTCTGGCCCCACCTTAGAGATACGCCGAGTGGTGCCTCCGCTTTCGACAGTCAGAAACGGTCTACTATCTACGGAAAATCACAACATCCACAGCCAAGACAAACATTTCTTTTGGGACGGAATTCGAAACCGTGCAGCGAGCTTTACTTCCAAGGAAAGTGTGTTAATCGTTTATGAAATCAACATAAGAGGTATACACGTCATAGGAAATTGTTGTCAAGTAGATTGAGTCTCATAATCAAATATTTAAAATAAACCCTTTTTTCAAATTTACATAACGTTTCAATGCGCATTAGAATACCAAAGAACTTTTGTTTTTTTTTTCAGAGAGAGGGATTTGCTGAAGACTACCCTTCATAGAATCTATGGAAAATTCTTAGGACTGCGAGCATTCATTAGAAAACAAATAAACAACGTTTTTTATAGATTCATTTATGAAACCGAACATCATAATGGTATTGCAGAACTTCTAGAAATCCTTGGGTCTATTATCAACGGATTTGCTCTACCGTTAAAAGAAGAACATAAGGTAAAAATTCAAGCTTAACTCAAAACTGGAACCATTTTTTGCTGTTTGGATGTTCGACCATTGATTAACCACCAATAGAATGTGGTGCCGTCATCCATTTATGCTTACAACTATATATAGCAAACAGTCTTTCGGTTTCAGCATTCCCACCTCTCGAACTATTGGCGCAACCTATTAAATTTCGTTTTCCATCATTGAGATATTGACAATGCGAAATCTTAGGAATAATTAGTTCAGATGAACTGATAGTATTAATTCTGTGTATTTTAAAAGCGGTCATAAGCCGTACGCGTGTCATCTGAACTTAGCCTTAGAAGGGTGGGTTAGGAGTGACCTTTCCTTAGACTCAAAATAAAAACGAAGTCTGGTTTTATTACTTCTTAGGTAATTATTACGATCCTTCGAGCAACATGTCTGTGTAGATGGAACGTAAATGTGAACAGTACAGGGTTTGACATCTCCGAAAATACGTTAATCAAAGCTTTTAGCCCCATTAGCACCATAATGTTAGTCTGTTCATCCAAACCGCAAATAGATGTGTGCCCTTGCACCACACATGAAATTCGATTTCAGTGCTCCGAATTTTTGTTTTTGTGTTCAAGGTGTTCCTGTTGAGAGTTCTGATGCCTCTGCATAAGGTGAAAAGCTTATCCGTGTATCATCCTCAATTGGCGTATTGCGTAGTACAATTTTTAGAAAAGGATCCATCATTGACTCAACCTGTTATAAGAAGTTTATTAAAGTATTGGCCAAAGACTCATAGTCCAAAAGAGGTAAGATGTCTATATGGTTGATAGTTCTTTTGTAAATAATAAAAGTAAAGCAAATACATTTCTCAAGGGGGTTTCGGTAGCTGAGTGGGTAGCGCGTCGAGCTAGCAATAGGTTGACCCGAGGCTTGCGGGTGTGAAATTCCGAGCCGTGGCAGTTGTGTTGTGTGTTTATATCACTCACCGGATCGGTGCACGATCAACGATAGGTACTTCCATGAAGAGTAGAGATAGGATGTTAAACTCATGGAGTGGGGTGAAGCCAACAATATCGATGATGAATTGAGTTGATACACTGCGCAGCAAATAAATTTCAGGTAGTACGCATAGGGGGTCTATCTGTGTACACAGCGCAGAAAATTAATTACAGGTTCTGCGCACGTGGAACCTCTCTGTCGCTGTCATCGGGACTGCAAACAACTCCAATTTTGGCAGTTCGGACGAGTTGCAAGCAGAAATATTGGATAATATTAATAAACCACCAAGTAATGAACCTACAAAGTAGGTAAAACGTGAGCAAAATTCTCATAAAGATTGCGGCAGGTTATGTTGACATTTTTCAATGCGCAGACGCTCTACTTCATGTTCTACGCCCACTAGATTCCCGAGAGCCACACTATCGCTGGCGACAGGATTGGCTTCATATAAATACGTGTATCCCTTAAGCAGTTTAATCTCCTCTCTCTAGTCTTCGTGGGTATATCTCATCGCTGGCCCTGGCTTATTCAATAATCAGTTATATGTAGATGGCTTGTGGAGTAGTACAGTGTTAGTACTATGGGGTCGGCAAAAAGTAACCAACTCTTGCAAGTATGTTTCTGTTATCACAATTCCAGTACTACAACTAACAACGTAATGTGAACATCCCTATGTTTTATCATATTAACTTTATTCTAGGTGATGTTTTTAAATGAGCTAGAAGAAATTCTGGATGTGATAGAGCCCGCAGAGTTTCAGAAAATCATGGTACCTTTATTTAGACAACTAGCAAAATGCGTCAGCTCACCCCATTTCCAGGTAAGACAAAACATTAAGGTATTTGCTAGTATAGTAGTATGGTAGGGATTCCGTTTCAGCAAAACTGTTTACATAAATATCAAAATGACTACATTTCTATAAAGTCTTTCTCCTGGAATTACTTGAAAAAGTACCCATATATACTATAACAGATATTTTGGGTGAAGCTTAACTCTAAAATGCCTATCATTCGGCAAACATTTACTTGAATGTTTTTTTTTTGTTGTTGTTATTATGAGTTGTATTGGCGCGAATTATATAAAATATAATAAATATATTTTGAATTTCCACTGATATACAGGATGTGGCGTAAATAGTGGATAACCTTTAACCTGGAGTTGGAGGACATCATAACGATTCAAAAAATTGAAAATTGTGTCTAGTAATAGTTGCACGGTTTTCAATTTTTGTGACGTTTTTCAAAATTTGGAGGAAATGGACACCTCCACTTACTGTTTTAAGTCTCGTGATAACACATGAATGGTTGTAATCATTCTTTTTTCAACATAGTATTCTTGAATACATGTGTCAAACTCGATCCATGTTTCAATAAAAACAACTGCGTCAACACTTAGTGCTCTCCATGAAATAGATTCCCTGGGGGGACTTGAGATCAAACTTGAGAATTATTCAAACAAAAATACATTCAAAATACGAATCGTAATATGAATAATACTAAATCTACCTTTTCGCCTCCACGGTAAGGAAAAATGAAAGCTAGTCTAAGGTGGTAGTTTCAGTGTTTTCTCTGCAAATCGATTTTGCCTCTCATCTCGGTGATGTGAACGATCGACGTCAACTTAAGACGGAATTTTTGAAAAAGTATTGAAAACTGGTCTCCTCAAGGGGACTTTGAGAACTGGAGGGTTAACAAAAGGAATCTTATCTCCTCTATTTATCTTCCAAAATCTGATCATCCTTCAAACGTTCTAATATCCATTGTCTGTCTGCGGAACAACGTCGTACAAAAACGCTTGTACCGCGTTGCGCCGGAGCCAGTCATACACAGAGTGTGGCGTTGTCATCGAAATTAGCCTACAGGGCAAATACCTTTAAATCTATTCATGTTTCTTACTTTCTTCAAATTCTCGCAACTTTTCGAAATATAGACACTGTAATTTCTTTGGCAGGTGGCAGAAAGAGCTTTGTATTATTGGAACAACGAATACGTGATGTCGCTAGTATCGGAAAATGCATCGGAAATACTGCCGATAATGTTCCCGAGTTTATCCAGGAACTCGAAAAGCCACTGGAACAAGACGATCCATGGACTTATCTACAATGCATTGAAATTATTCATGGAAATGAATCAAAAACTGTTCGACGAGTGCACGCAGCAGTATAAGCAAGAAAGGCAAAAGTGAGTGTTTTTTTTTTTGTAGTGCTGTAGATTATAGAAGTTGTTACTTGGTGGTTCCCTTTCATCAAATGATTGAATAGTACAATTAATTGTACAAGTTTCACAGTAAATTACAGAAGCAGGTGTAACGCATTTCACTTTATTTCCATTTACATTGAGTGGCTACCCAGAACATATACTCGGTGTCATTAGAAGTGTTACACCCAGAAAAAATAATGCTTCAACTTGTTTTTTGGCAACATACTATATTCAAAGCATGCTATGACAACAATGTCAACGTTTTATCTTTGTTTTTATTTACCTTTGATAAAATGTTATCTCTTAGTTTTTGTGAGCTGAGCAGTACCGATATTTTTAGTTATTGTCCTTTCATTTACTAGTGTTAAGCATAACAAAATGCCTCGAGTTCGAAGACGTCCAAATTATCATCATGTTAGCGTCTTTAACATCGGTAGAATTATTGCCTATCGACATGTTGGTTTGTCCTATGGCGAAATAGGCCGCCATGTTAAGAGTACTGCAATTACGGTAATGCGTGTGTGTCATGTGTGGATAGAAGAAGGTAGACAAACACGAAGAAGGCCAACTGATCAACCGAGGCGTACCACAGAGCATCAAGATAGGCGCTTCAGACAACTAGCCCTATGAGACCGTTTGGCTACTACGAGTCAGATCGCTGACCAATAGTTTGGAGAAGAAGGTAGACTTGTTTGTATGCGTACACATTCGAGCCTTTGGACTTTCTTCATACCGTCCACGATTAGTGCTTCCTCTGACTGCGGACCACTGTTGTCAACGTGTGAACATGAGCAGAGAACAGCAACACTGGTAGGCAGAATAGAATAATGTCATCTTCAACGACGAATCGCGATTCTGTCTAGGTACGCACGATGGTCGTAGAAGGGTAAGACGCCGCCGTAGAGAACAGCGTGATATTGGATTTGCTGTTTAGAGGCATGAACAGGACTGTTGGAGTAATGGTTTGGGGGGCTAATGCCTATGATGACGCGCAGTATGCTGATGCCCTACAAACCACTTTACTGCCGTATCTAGAGTCATTTTTCAGCAAGTCAACGCACGTCCCCATATTACTCGTCGTACTACGGACTTTCTTCAAGAAGCAAGCGTTAATGTTTTGCTGTGACCACTGACCACCCCGTTCACCAGATTTAAATCCCATCGAACACGTGTGGGATATGATGGGGAGAAGACTATCCACTTTGCACCATTCGCCACAGACTCTGCCACAGGTAATACACGAAGTTCGAGTTGCTTGGAATGAGGTGTCACAACCAGACATAGATCATCTCATTTTGTCGATGCCTAGACGTATACAGGAGTGTATTCAGCTGCGGGGTCGTCCAACACATTATTTTTTTTCTTATTGTCAATAAAATTTCATGGGAATGTTATCGTTTCATTTTTGATGTAAGACTACCTCATTGCCAAAAAATCAAGTTGAAGAATTTTTTTTCCGGGTGTAACACTTCCAATGTCACTAAGTTATGCAAACTAGCTACTAGCTAACCAACGATCTTAGCATAAATACAATACTAATAGTAGAAGTCATTAAACCAAATACCCTATTTACTCTGTCTAATATCTAATGCAAATACTGTGATATTTCAGAGAGAGAGAAAGAGAATCTCATAGACAAGAGCTTTGGAATAGAGTCGAGAATCTAGCATCTAGAAGGCCTGAATATGAAGTTATACAGAGGAATAACAGTAACAATATGCTCGCTAGTCCTGAAGAGGATGATATTCGTATGGAAAGAATTGATACTGAATCGCCAGATGTAAGTATTTTTTGGGATTCAAAGATTCATTTTTCCGATTAACAAACATACGATAGTTCCTTTCCATTTTCAATTGAAGTATTTCCAATATAACAAGTTGCAGACAGACACCAAAGGGGATATGCATGTTTTTTTTGTCAACTATATACGTTAATATAATACCGTAAACATATTTCATTCATGGATATGTCTATAAAAATGCCAATGGCGTTGATTTAAACGACGAATTTTTGGCATGCCGCGCAGTGACGTCATAACTTATTTGTTATTTGATTGTATTTTCGGTTAGGTTACTGTCGAGTTGTTGACATACCATGTGATTACAAAGTATAAAGAATACTATGAAAGTTTTGCAATACAGCTTTGTTTATTGACTTCATTCAAAGTTATTTCCACCACATTCAATAAACTTCTCCATCCGCCAAAACCAGCTCTGCCAAGTTTCACCCAGGAGTACGGCACACACGTCCCAAGACCTCAAAAGGTCCTCAGCGCAAGTCGCTAGTAGCAAGATCTGGACTGTAAGGATGGTGCTCAATAAGTTTCAGTCCAGTAGTGACCAAATACTCGGTACAGGCTTTGGCACAGTGAGCTGGAGCATTGTCATGGTGGAGTTACCAAGTGTCCATTCTTGACTTTCGCCGCAGGTTTTTCATCGACTCTATGACTTTAGACAGGCACTGTTTCGTGTACCACTTGGCTGTGACTGTCTTCTGTCCAAAACGACACGCTCCACAATCCCGATCGATTTGAAAAATACAGCTATCATTTTTTTCTTAACAGATCGGGATTTTCTGGCGGCTACGGGTGTGTCCAAACTTTCTTTTGAGCCTTGGTCGGCACATCGTAATAATAGAGCCCAGTCTCGTCACCTGTCACGCGATCCTGATTACATACGGAGATTGCCCGTTATCAAACATTTTCAAAATCTTTCGAGACCCAAGTCGTATGACGAGGTTTCTGCTCTTCCGTCTGACAGTGCGGTACCCAGAGGCAACAAAGTTTCCTTACGTGAAAATGGTCATGCAGAATTGAATGAATTGCCGGTGCATGAAGGTGTAAGGTCTCCTATATTTGTTAGTATGTCACTTACAGCAGTAAGGTTTTCCTCTGTTACTGATGTTTGCGGCCTTCCTTTCCTCTAAGCGTCCTCCAGAATGAAATTGCCTCTTTGGAATTCTCTGTACCACCTGAATATAGTCGTACGATGAAGACAATCATTCTTTCTGTCAGAACAGTGCAGAGACGCTTGGTGAATTTTGGACTTTTTGTTAGGCCTCCAGTGCTAGACATTCCAGCAAGATAATGACCCCAAGCATACCTCAAAATTCGTGAAGGACTGGTTAAGTCTAAAAAATGTTAATGTTCTTACATGGCCTTCGCAATCCCCGATCTGAACCCCGTAGAACATCTCTGGGAGCATGTTGAAAGACAACTGACAAGAAAAACTTAAAAAAATAAGAACGATTTATTTGATTGTGTAAAAAATATTTGGCAAAATATCCCACAGACGTCTTTTGAAAAAATTGATGTTGTCTATAAGCAGCAGATGTCAGGCATCGTTGAATGCTAAAGGCTGTGCTACCAAATATTAGCTAAACAGTATTTTTTAAATAGAGTTATTGTATTTAATTTTGTAATAAAAAATATTTTTCCATACTTTTGTCGTTTCATTTTTGGTCATAAAATAATATGAAGGTATTTTAATGCTAGTCTGTAGCAAACACAAATTGTAATTTTTGTGTCCCCAAGACTGTAAGCAAACTATACGGCAAAAAAATCGTCCTTAATAATAAAGGATAAAAAATTAGCACTGATTTTAAAAATCACTAAGAATGTGTCCAAATTTTTGTCCCCTACTGTATATCATTTTAATTTTGAATTTCAGATAAACAGAGGACAACAACAAAAAAACTCGGCGAATAGGCAGAACATGAATGATCAGTTTAGGAGAGATGAGTACATAACTCAGGAGACAAACAAGTGCTAAAACTTTATTATTGACGTGAGAATGAGATACAATCGTAAGATGAAGTGGTGTTGCAAAATGGGTCTTTTTTTGATGATTTGGAAGTCATCGAAATATTTCTAATAGTACAAAAACTAGCATCCTTATCCATGGCTTAACTATCCCTGCACTATTTTTTTTACTTTCCGTCCTATTTTTTTTTAAAGCTGCTCCATATTTCGAAAGTCGAAAAGTATGTGAAATCTGAAAGCTATCCTGTGGTTTGATTCAGCCAGACAAAAGTGGGGGTTATCGTCTTTTTTGATGATTTGGAAGTCATCGAAATATTTCTAATAGTACAGAAACTAACATCCTTATCCATGGCTTAACTATCCCTGCACTATTTTTTTTACTTTCCGTCCTATTTTTTTTTTTTAAAAGCTGCTCCATATTTCGAAAGTCGAAAAGTATGTAAAATCTGACAGTTATCCTGTGGTTTGATTCAGCCAGACAAAAGTGGGGGTTATCGAAAAATATAGTCAAAACAATGATTGTACTATTTGTATTAATAGAGAGCCAAAGGTCATTCCTTGAAATTTTGTAACGCTACCTGAAGTGTACTCTATATCAGCGTAATATACAATGTGTCAAGGAAAGTGGACATGTCACAATTTTAAAGAAATGTAGCACCAACTGTTTTAAAATTTTCATGTTTTACCTTAAAGTGGACCTGCTGCTTTTGCTTTGTTGCCGCCAGTTGAATATTTTCCGGAAAGATACTTCGTAGAAGAAGTATATTTCTCTCCATAGTACCGTCTATCTGGCATTTTCGTATGTGTAATTTTTTAGGCACATTGTGGTTGCATAAAGAGGTTTGTATATAGTTAGTGTGTAAGGAAAATCATTATCACTTAGAGTAATTTTATTTATCTGTTCAGCTTGTACGTAGATTTTTCACTCTGGATTATTCATTTAACTCTGATGTTATCTAGCATACACTTATTAAGAGAATCTAGAGCAAATATTAATTATGTTGTAGTTGAAGTCTTTTCGGAGAAGTACTGTTTCTTTGTTTTTTAGCATAACATTATTTTTTAACATATTAAAAAAGATAATCATTTTTGGTCGTCCCTTTCTTAAGATGTAACTCTACCAATTAAATGTCAAAAAGAATAAATCATTTTTTAAGAATTACATATTCTGGAATCACACGTTTTTTTTTTTACTTTTAAGTAAAAAAGTTCATATAAACATGTGACCAAAAAGTCTGGTTTCCAAGATACAAGGTGTCAACATTAAAAAAATCATTTTTATTAATATCTCAAAGATCTTTGTGCCCACTTTGTTAAATTTTGATTGTGTTATTTATTGCAATACGGCGCTAAGTTAGTACCAACTAGAAGACAATTATCAATTCCAGTGACGTCTCGGGGAACACTCTCACGAATAAAAAATATATTTTTTTTCCAAATTAAGCATATCAAGATACAACCATGTTGTATCTCTTTTATCCCTTCATACCTTGCTTCTCTTCTTTATTAGGTCCGAGCACTATACATAGTTAACAGGTGGGCTGAAAATTCCGTATCGTTTCAATGAAAAAATATTTTTTTCGTCAAAATTCGCTTTTATTATTCAACATAGTTGCCTTCAAGGGCTATACAGCGATTATAACGTTCTTCAAGTTTTTCGATACCCTTCCGGTAGTAATCCTTCGGCTTGTCCTCAAAATAGGCTTCAGTTTCGGCGATGATTTCTTCGTTGCTGTGAAATTTTTTTCCGGTGAGCATTCTCTTAAGGTCTGAGAAGAGGAAATAGTCGCTTGGAGCAAGGTCCGGAGAATACGGTGGATGGGGGAGCAAATCGAAGCCCAATTCATGCAATTTCGACATCGTTTTCATGGACTTGTGGCACGGCGCATTGTCCTGGTGAAACAAGATTTTTTTTTTCTTCATTTGTGGCCGTTTCTTGGCGATTTCGGCCTTCAAACGCTCCAGTAACACTATATAATAGTCGCTGTTGATAGTTTGGCCCTTTTGAAGATAGTCGATGAAAATAATTCCTTGCACGTCCCAGAAAACAGAGGCCATAACCTTGCCTGCTGACTGTTGCGTCTTTCCACGTTTCGGAGGTGGTTCGGATGCAGCCGTCCACTCGGCCGACTGGCGATTTGACTCCGGTGTGTAGTGGTGGAGCCATGTTTCATCCATGGTGACGTATCGGCGAAAAAAATCGGTTTTATTGCGCAAAATCACCTCCAAACAGGCCTCAGAGTCGTCGATGCGTTGTTGCTTTTGGTCAAATGTGAGATTGCGCGGCACCCATTTCGCACAGAGCTTTCGCATATCCAAATATTCATGAATGATGTGACTGACACGTTCTTTTGATATGTTTAAGGCCTCAGCTATGTCAATCAACCGTATTTTGCGGTCTCCCAAAATTATTTTGTGGATTTTTTTCACGTTTTCGTCCGTAACGACCTCTTTTGGGCGTCCACTGCGTGCGTCGTCTTCAGTTGACATGTGACCGGTACGAAATTTAGCAAACCACTTGCGAATGGTTGCTTCGCCCGGGGCAGAGTCCGGATAACACTCATCAAGCCATTTCTTGCATTCGACGGCACTTTTTTTCATCAAAAAATAATGTTTCATTAACACACGAAACTCTTGACTTTCCATGGTTTTCAAAAATAACAAAAGTAGCGTCACTCTCGATACGATAACTCAAAAACTAATGATCCGACAGCTGTCAAATTTTGACAGGCATCTTTTGAAGGTTGGTACTAGCTAAGAAGCGTATGGATTTTATTCTGGTGGCGCCATCTCATAGAAACGATACGGACTTTTCAGCCCACCTGTTATATGCAAGAATACGTCAGGTATAACATGCAGTATTTCTAAAAAGTAAAAAAGAAATAATGACAAACTAAAACTGAATACAGAAAAATAAAAACGTGAATCTAAATACCAAGTTAATGGACCTGACAATACAAAAGACAACACAAAAAGCAGCCTTCTGCGGTTTTTCCGTCTCTCTATCAGAAACATGCTCTTTTTCTAGATTGTTAGCTCTCATTGCCTATCTTACTGTGCCTTTTTTGCGACCTGGTGGCGACCAGTGAAATATATGTTTTAGCCATCGATCTTCCGGCATCCTTAACCAGTGACCAACCACTTTAAACTTCTCTCTCAATTCTGGCCTCATTACTTGCTCTCTTATGTGCATTGCCTCATAATTAGTTCTTCTGTTCAACGTTGAAATTCCGGCACTTTGTCGCAAGCTCGCAAGTAATCCTTCTGAGCCATGAGCTAACACTGTCTCAACTAGAACTTGTCCAAGAATTTTCTTTGTCGATTGTGAAATAAGCCTGTTTTACCAAACACCATTGAGGCATCATATCACTTTCTTGGCATTTATTATCCCTCATAAATTTCTTCCCTGCCTAAACCTTCACTGGTTACAGCTGCTCAAAGATATTTTAAATTATCAACTTGCTTAATACGAGGGATGTCTTTTAAGTTTTGCATATGGAAATAAAACAACACGGCAGGTAGTTCTAAATGACTTTATTGTTTTTCGAAGTATTCTCCACGAAGATTAATACACATCTGCATGCGCTCGAAGCACTTATTCCACTCGTTTGCTGGCAGATCCAAAACGCCATTTTTGAATGCGTCAACTGCTTCTTCTGGTGACTGGAACCTTTGACCACGCAGTCTGTTTTTAATTTTCGGGAAAGTAAAGAAATCGTTAGGACTTAGATCGGGACTATATGGAGGATGGTCCAATAATTCCTCGTTTTCTTCCGTTAATACTGCCTTGTTTTTTGGGCTGTGTGCGAGCTTGCATTGTCTTGGTGGAGGATGATTCTTCTTTCACTTCGAGAACGGATGGCTTTTGTTGGCTTTTCTTCACCTTGAAACACCCAAACGGCCGACTGTTGTTTATTTTCTGGTTCGTAACAGTAAATCCACGATTCATCACCACTAACACTGCTGTACACATTTTTTGAGTTTACGGAATTGAAACGGTCAAGCGTTTTTTGACACCAATTAACCCTGGCTGCTTTCTGCTCTTCAGTCAACAGGTGGGGTATCCAACGAGAAACTAATTTTCTTACTCCTAATTCTTCTTGTAAATTTTTTTAATTGAGGTCTTTGAGATCTTCAAGGACGCCTCAATCTCGCGATATGTCACATGTCTATCTTCAATGATGAGTTAGCGCACAGCATCGACGTTTTCCTGTGTACTTGCCGTTTTTGGTGCACCCACCCTGGGATCGTCGCTAAGACGTTTGAATTCTCCATACCAACGGGAAATTGTCGACTGATGTGGCGCTTTGTTGCCGATAACAGGCAGTAACTCAGCAAGGCATTCTTGTTGCGATAATTGTCTCTGAAAGTTGTAATACACTCCACGTATTGTTGTGAAACTTTGAATTTAACTTTACTAAAGAGTGAGGTTAAGATTCAGTACTGACGTTCGATCCGCGCGGCCTACTATGTTTCTATATGCAAAACTTAAAAGACATCCCTCGTAGTTACATTCTCATTTATACACATTTCGAAATCCGCGCTGTATCAACCGCTAAGTACTCTGTCTTTTTAAAACTTATTTGCAAACTCCATTCTGAATATTGTTCATCCGGATGTTTAATTATAAATCGCGTTACTTCATTTTCAAGGAAAAAAATAAAAGCAACTTTACGAGGGCGGTGTAATAAGTACCCGTGTTAGAAATGAAGACACCATTTTTTCCAAAAATATTTTTTATATTTCTCAACAAAGTCTCCCTTTAGAAAGATGCACTTTTCCCAACCCCTCCAAAAAATAGGATTTGTCGTTCTCTCCAAAATACGCCTCTGTCTCGGCCATGACCCCGTTTGAGCCGTTTCTTCATTTTAGGGAACAAGAAAAAGTCGCAGTGGGCCAGATCGTGTGAATACTGGGGTGCGGCAGCACTTCATAGCACAATTCATGCAGTTTGGCGGCGACAACTCCGGATGAATGTGCTGGTGCGTAATCGTGGTGAAACAGCACCTTCTTTTTCGCCAAATGTGGCCGTGTCTCCTTCAATTTTTTGTCGAAGCGGTCGAATAACAGACTGAAGTTTTGTCTAGTGATCGTTCTTCCTTTTTCTAGAAAATCCATGAGGATAACCCCTCTCGCATCCCAAAAAATCGTCGTCATGACCTTTCCGGCCGATGAGACCGCCTTCGCCTTCTTTGGAGCAGATCCTCCGCGAGAAATCCATTGTTTTGATTGTTGCTTAGTTTCTGGTGTGTAATGATGAATCCTGGTTTCAACAGTGACAACTCTACGCAAAAGCTCCTTCGGATTTCGCTTAAATTGCTCCAAACACTGCTTCGAGGTTAACATCCGCATCCGCTTGTTGTCCACCGTAAGCAATCGCGGCACCCATCGGGCCGACAAATTTTTCATCTCCAACTTGTCATGTAAAATATTCATTGCCGTTCCGGTCGACACGCCTACGGTCTCTGCTACTTCGCGCAATTTCGTTCGTCGATCAGCGAGAATCATGTCGGACTTTTTGAATGATTTCCTCGGTAGCAACGTCTGACAGGTATCCTGGTCACTTCTCATCAAAAACGAATGTCCTCCCACGTTTAAATTCGTTGAACCAATATCTAACCGTGGTCATAGATGGCGAAGTGACCCCATAAACAGCATCCAACTTTGCTTTTAACTACTCGAATTTTTTCCCATCCAAAAACAAAAAGTGGATTGCCGAACGATACTGCTGCACTTTTTCCATCTTAGCGAAAATGACGAAACACGTATTACTCGAAACTAACCTATCAATCAGTCTCAAATTTGTTGTGCCGCCGTTTGATAGATGGCGTCACACCATGATGACACCAACTCAACCTCAGGAACGCCCTTTGTCGTCAAACACGAACAAGCCTCCTTCATGTCAAAATTCAATTTAATTTGATGGATATACAATACTGATTTATGACATTTTTAAAATAGTAACAATTTGACAAAGTTCACAAATTTTGAAAATGACCATTTACCGCTTGTACGCAGGCCTCTACTCTCATATTTTAATAATTTTTCCACATCTAATCAAGTTGTTTTTATTTGTTTTCCTCGAAAACGAAATAGGATACGAAGGTACCACCGTGCCAGCATGGGGCATCAGGCAACTTGAAAGACCAGTGAAACAGTGGAGTGAGTAGGATTGAATTTGCCTCTAACAGTCGATCCTGAAAGTTGGTTGTCAGCTGGTGCTGCAGACTAATTGGTTAAGTCGACTCCACGAAATCCTTTCTCTCAAGTTGCTGCTTACTAAACATATTCGCTGTTTTGAATGCGCTCATTCGAAAAATCGTATACAGGTCTTTGATATGTCAATAAAAAACCGAAATTTTTATAAAATTTCACATCCTGTATCTTGAAAGCTAGAATTTTTAGGACTTTGGTTCAGGAATGCGACCTTGTAATTACAGCATGTTATTAAGTAAAATCGCACATATGGCTCTGATAAAATATGGAAAGTACTTTGCCGAAATATCTGCATAAAATAACTAAGCCTATTCATATAATACATAGAGAGGTACATAAGTATTTTGTGATGTTATCTGTAAGTAACATTAGGTATTACTACAGCGTAAATATGTTGTACATATTTTATATTGCTATTAAAGACATTCTAGATATCACATCATTTAGTTGGTTTTCTTTTTGAGCTGTCGTACACTGGACCACTGATGGCGACCACTAGTCGACATAACTAGTAGCTAAATATACATACATTTTTGTCCATTATTCTCAGAAGCGGCCGCGTGAACACTTAGTTTGCCCTAATACAATGAAAATGTATGGAAAATGTCATCCCCAACTTGTAGCAGCCACCAGTCGCCTAATGTGTGGCAGCCCTTAGAATTATCAGGTCAAATAAAACTCACATAGTACAGCTATAATCAAAAAAGTTTAATGTGCTAATAACAAAGAAGGTAATGTAACTCCTGAAACTTGTCATGTGGTTTTTATGTTCATAGGGCACCATTGTCCGAATGAAAACCATATGCTTAGATTTCTGCTTATCGTACGACGTTTTGTTCTCCCCATATTTTCCAAGTATAATTGACAATTCTGTGTCAATATGTATTTTCTGTTCTCCAAGTGGAATTTTTTTCTCACATTCCTATACACTGTATTACTACGATAGTCTGAACGTCTTGTAACGTGCTGAGCTAATGCACGAAACCATCATTGCAATTTTCAGATGGCGCTACGCCCCACCAGCAAAGCCCAGAAGGACAACCAACCTCGCAAAGCGGCAAAAGAGCTTGAAGTTATCTGTCCGTTTTTTTTTTATTGTACTAGACCCGCCACCCTCGATCATCGTTCCGAAAACGCCAAGTCGTATGAAAACGCGGAAACTCACGCAGAACTATTGTCGCAAAACACCGGTTGATTGTTATGCAATCTGAAATGCGAGAAATAGTTCTTCGACATGTCTTATAAGGTAATGATAATATAATAATAATAATTTATTCACATCAATTACATATTGTGGACGGATGCATATGCCACAAAAGTCACAACAATTTGCCCTTGAGATGGTGAAGTAAAACATCTGCGCATTTGACATCCAATGATTATAATTTGTTATTGAATCTCAAATTTGCAGATGTTTTGCTTCGCCAATGTCTGACATTATTTCCTCACAAAACAGGACCGTTCAAACTATTGAAATAAAATACTATAGGAAAAAGGGTGCAAAATGCCACCTGTAAAACAAAATATATTGTCACAGAATTGTCAGTTGTACTTGAAAAAGACCACAGTGGTAGTCAACAAAAATCTAAACATATATGTGGTTTTGATTCGGCCCGACAATGTAATTAACAAAAAATGTATCCATGGTACAGAGACTCGAGTTCAATAAAAAAAATTTGAGGTCTTTTTACGTTTAGGGTCCCAATGCGTGACGGCCTAAGTGAGTATAACAAGGGAGATTAAACACTGTTCTATTATCTAGCAGCAGTAAAATTTTCTCTATACGAGTATTATTTCAAATGATAAAGGACAATATGCTCATCAGCAAAAAACTTGCTTTTTAGTTTATTTTTCAGTATATTAGTGACACGTCCTTGGAAGTAAATGTTTTCTGCTAGTGAAAACATGTACAAGTGTCAATGTGCTCATCCGTGCACTTAGGGAATGACAGCTCTGCAGCACTCATTTTAAGGTGGCGCGGGCACCAAATAAGAACATTCAAAAATGAAATAAGCATGTTGTTGAAAATATGTGAAATTGCTTGCTCTGTATATATTTGTATTAGAGCTATTTAGCCTCAAGCATGAAAAATATCACATCATTCATGTAGAGAACTCGTAAAGTCACAAATTTTATACATTTTCAGTCAAAAACAAATTTAGCTTAGATACATAAAAGCAGTGCTGTTGTATCCTAAATGCGGGTTTTGCAAATAAACGTAATCTTGAAAAATATCACTATACATTTTCTGTTTTAAAGATTATTGTAAATACTGATACATACGACTTTGTTGTGGAGCTGTTTGTAGCGCAGTATTTTTTTAAATGTACAGCATGAAGAAGATGTTGCTTATTATATCGAATAAAAGTTATAATGGAAATAAATTATAAAAACTGCAAAGTGGTATATTTTGACCTTCTTCAATCATCTTATCCCTATGTTTCCCGAAGCACGCATTGCTAGGCGAGTAACACCGTGTTAGAATTACTATATACTTTCCAGATACATTTTTCCCATTAAAACCATGTTGAGATCGCAGAACCATCGGGAAGCTTAAATTTCAGTATCAAAATCGTATAAACTGTGAGCGATGTAAATTTCCCGCCAATCTTGTACCAGGAGCTAAGTACTTCTCTACACCTGTACGCGTTTCTGCGATCCTGGTAGCACTTTTTACATACCGATATTGACGATTTTGTAAAAAGACTGATTAAATGTGTGGTAAGCATAAACGGAAAACTGTATCAGGATCACAGAAAAGAGGAAGTATCTCTTCATATTCCGCCACTGGTTTTTGGTACCCTGGTTTAGAACTTTTACCAACAAACTTTGACGATTCAACAAGAGGCATCTGGGTAATATTCATAAGCTTAAAATTCTCCACTAGAATCGCAGGAGGTAAGTAATCCGTCATACCTCCTCGCGTTTCTGTGATCCTGGTAGAACATTTTTAACAAAAGAATTAACGATTTTATGAGAGAAGTCTGATTAGATGTGTGGTAAGCATCAACTGAAAACTGTATCAGGATCACAGAAAGGAGCAGGGTATCTCTTTATATTCCGCCATGGGCGACGATTGGGATGCAAGAGGAGTCTGGGCAAAAGTACAATATTGACGGGCTCAAAATTCTCTACCACAATCGCAGGAGGGAAGTAATTCGTCATACCTCCTCGCGTTTCTGCGATCCTGGTTGTACTTTTTTATAGACCGAGATTGACGATTTTGTGAAGGTCTGAGTAGATGTGTAGTAAGCATCAACTGAAAACTATATCAGGATCACAGAAGGGAGGAAGGTATCTCTTCATATTCCGCCACGGGTTCTTGGTACCCTGGTTTAGAACTTTTACCAACAAACTTTGACGATTCTACAAGAGGCGTCTGGGCAATATTCATAAGCTTAAAATTCTCTATCATCGCAGGAGGTAAGTAATCCGTCATACCTCCTCGCGTTTCTGCGATCCTGGTAGCACTTTTTTACAGACCGAGATTGACGATTTTGTGAAGGTCTGATTAGATCAACTGAAGACTGTATCAGGATCACAGAAAGTAGCAGGGCAATATTCATAAACACAAAATTTTCTACCAAAATCGCAGGAGGGAAGTAATTCGTCATACCCCTCGCGTTTCTGCGATCCTGGTAGCAGATTGACGATTTTGTGAAGGTCTGAGTAGATGTGTGGTAAGCATCAACTGAAAACTATATCAGGATCACAGAAGGAAGGTATCTCTTCATATTCCGCCACGGGTGACGATTACAAGAGGAGTCTGGGCAAATGTGCAATATTCATAAACACAAAATTTTCTACCAAAATCGCAGGAGGGAAGTAATTCGTCATACCCCTCGCGTTTCTGGTATCACTTTTTTACAGACCGAGATTGACGATTTTGTGAAGGTCTGATTAGATGTGTGGTAAGCATCAACTGAAAACTGTATCAGGATCACAGAAAGGAGCTGGGTATCTCTTCATATTTCGCCACGGGTAATGATTACAAGAGGAGTCTGGGCAAATGTGCAATATGCATACGCTCAAAATTCTCTACCAGAATCGCAAGACCTCCTCGCTTTTCTAGTAGAATATTTTTAACAAAAGAATTGACGGTTTTATGAGATAAGTCTGATCAGGTGGTATTTATAGTATCAGCTGGAAATTCTGATTCTCACAAGCCCTTCAGTTTCTGTTTCTGCGACGCTGTTAGCAGATTTCTACAGAAAAAAATCGACGATTCTGTGAAAGAAGTCTGATCGGATGTGCCGTATTCGAAAGCAAAAAATATTCTACCTTTTGGTAGCAAAACTTCACTGATAGATGTTGATGACGATCCTGCAAGTGATCTGGTAGTAGTGCAATCTTCATTATTCGAAAATTCTGTATTAGGATACCACGTACAGAAGGAGGTAACTCCGTGGGAGGTTTCAATTTCCACCAATTTTGCGTTTCTGCGATCCTGATCCACAACATTTCGCCAGGCTCGCAAAATCAGCGATTGGCAATTATGCCAGTAATTCGACTTACCCACCAATTCTATAGGAGTTTCTGCAATACTAATAGCGACAGATTTTGAAAATTCTGTTGATATGTACAGTATATTTATCATCTGGAAAATCTGTATCAGGATCTCGGAAACAGCAAAAGGTAAGTTTTGTGCGAAGTACGCAGGAGCAAAGCAGTTTTTCATATCTCCTCACGTTTCTGCGATCCTTTGCAAAGTTTCAGAAACAGGTTTTGGAGTCTGGGTCTAGCCGGATGAGCGGTATTCCTCGGCTGAAAAATCAGGATCGCAGCGAGAACAAGAGTACGTCAAATGTCATTGTTGGCTACTACAGCTATCAAAGTTGACTAAAACACAGCGTTGTTTTCAAACATGACTGCTTCTAACCATTTCTATCGCTCATTTATGCTTATGTACCACACTGTCCATTATCCATGAGTTATGAGCATTATAGTCTATATTTTCTTGCACATTAAGGTAAATTTCTTCTATAACGCTTCCACTATAGATTGTCTTTTGATGACAATTTTTGGTCATATGTCCCCTTCTATGACGCTTAAAACACCTTAGCAAAGACTTTGTGGATTGTTTCTTCTCATCAGTGTTCTTATCTTGTTTAGTCAGGGATACAGCAGCCATCCAAGTCCCTATTTCTTTAAAGAAAAATCGCTTTGTTTTCAAACACTTACTTCTACTTGTGATCACCCCAAAGTTCACTTCAGAATCCCAAATCACCACTGCAAGATCTCTGATAGAATTTCTCGTTAACCCTATAGAAATTGTAAATTTCTTAGTACCTCCTCGCGTTTCTTCGATCCTGGAGAGAAATTTGTTACCGACATATTTTTTTTCGATTGAAGATGTTAGATGAGCTGAAATTCTATCAGGAAAGCAGAAACAGCGAAAGGTGAGTGTGCGATTTTTGAATTCCCTACCGATTCCACAGCAGAAGCAAAGTACTTTTTCAAACCTCCTCAAATTTCTGCGATCCTTTATAAGTAATAGATTTTGGCGATTCTCTAATAGAAGTCTGGTCGGATGTGCGATTTTCCTCATCCAAAAAAATCAGGTTCGCAGAGACAGCAAAAGGCAACTATGTCGCATATGTGAATGTCCGACAATCACAAGTTGTAAAATTTTTCATACTTTGTCGTGTTTCCTTGGTCCTGGTAGCGATTTTGCATGAAAATTCTGTATCGGGTTCGCAGAAACAGCGAGGTGTTGGCATTTCCCACCAATTTCGTAGCAGGAGCAACCTATTTCCGCACACCTCTTCGCGTTTCGGTGATCGTGATAGAAATTTCTTCCTACCAGGCGCTTATCCAGGATGGGGCAGCACCGATGCTATTGCCCCCGAAGACCTCAGACTTGTAAGAAAAAATGAAAGATGAAAGGAGATGAAGAGAAAAGAAAAAAGGGAGAGGGTAGTTAGAGAGAAAGGGGAGACAAAAGCAGAAAAGAAAGAAGGTGAAGTTGTATCATCTCATCTGAGCGCAATGCCCCCTGAAAGTAGGCAACCATACTATTTGCCTCCTGCAAGGTGTAATGCTGTATACGCGCCTGCTACCGACAGTTTTGATTGATTTTAAAAGTCTGATGGGATGTGCGGTAAATGCTATATCTGCGAAAAAAAAAGTACTTCCTACATAAAATTTATTCTAAAATATAACTGGTGTATAACAAATTCCATCTTTATATGAATTCTATCACATATAAAAAAAACAAAGGTACCCAACATTTTAATATATAAGCTTTAAACTTAAAACAATTCCCAACATGTTAATTTCCTATAGTCTTGAAGCCATTCCCCCAGAAATTACCAAATTCTCTCCAGTCATGTATGCTGCATCATCTGATGCTATGAAAGCTACTGCTCCACCTATGTCATCTGGCTTTCCAAATCTGAAATTAATTTATTATTTAAATAATATATTTAAAAGTAGGAAATGATTGACCACAACTAGCCTCATACTGATGAGCCCCAATGAGGACGGAACAACTACCGTGTACGAATGTGTACAAAAATGAGGAAAAATTGAGTCATAAGTGAACAGCTGGATTGCAACTATTGCAATCGATAAAAATTTCATCGATAATTGTTCATAGGGTTGCCTACGCTTTTACCGGGAGTAACATTCAAGGCATAAGACAGTAAGATGGGTGCTCTTGTCGCTCGACACCAACAAAGCTTCAGGTCCGGACTTGATTCCTGCCGTTGTATTGAAGAGGTGTGCAACGGAGCTTGCTCCAATTCTTTCTCGACACTTCCAGATATCTTACGAACCCGGCGCCTTCCCAGAGAACTGGAAATTTGCTCATGTCCAACCAATCCGAAAAACAGAACCTAAGACCGACCCTTACAACTGCAGGTCTATAGTTCTGCTTTCTGTTATAAGTAAGGTGATGGAGAGGTGCATGAATCTCGAGCTTCTGGACTACCTCGAACGTCACAGCTTGATTAGTTACAGGCAGTACGGTTTCCGGAACCAGCGATCCGCAGGGGATCTCCTAGCTTACGTCACGCAATTGTGGAGTAAACTCATCCAATCTTATGGTGAGGCTCATGTCGTTGCTCTTGACATCACGAAAGCGTTCGATCAGCTGTGGCACGCTGCCCTCTTAAGCAAACTTCCATCCTTTGGCCTCCCAGAAAAGCTTTGCTGATGTGTGGCTGGCTGTCTCTCTTGCCGCAAGATATCTGTCGTAATTGACAGGTTCTCCTTTTCATTCCACAACGTCAACGCGGGTGTTCTCCGGGGAACGGTCTTGGCTCCGACACTGTTCCTCTTACATATCACCGACCTCCTTTCCTGTAGGATCAACCGATCTCTGCCGGTGATCTGGAAAAAAGACGACTAGTGGCGATTTCCTCTCTGACGAGAGACCTACACGTTATCACTGCTTGTACAGTTTATAAAAAAAAAACAAATTCGGCCGGCACCCTTTTCTAGACGCTCATGCTCCGAGTAACATTCAGAGCTGCTGCTTTGTTCCAATCAACAAGGGAGACAGGTAATCTTACAGCCGATATTTACCCTCCTTTTTGTACATTCATACAGGCACACAGACACGCTGTTCATTAAAAATCCAACTATGTCGGCGACACAACGCAGGAATGAAATGTAAACTTGAAAATGGTTTCACACGATGTATCTTTTATTACTGACCCTTCGTTACTGTTGCGAACAACACCGGCGGGAGTAATGTGGTGATGTTGGACTTATCCAACAGCTGTTTGGTACATGGTTCATGCAGAATTGAGGCCATTTTTTGAGCTTCAGCTCATAAGCCAAGCTTGGACTTTCGTTTTCAGATATAACTGCCCCTGAAATAAAATGTGTGGTACAACAAGTGCAATGAGCATACCATTTACCATGCCAGCCCAAACGTTCAAAGAAAATGTTTGTTGAAGATTTGACCGACAGATTAAGTGAAGATCTTCCATTACGCATGAAGGTTGATCCTAATATGGATTTCATCTTCAACTCCGGATTATTTTTATGCTGGCGCAATAACAATTCACAAAACGCACTTTTGCAGGAAAAATCCTCGGGTTGTACATTATCACGCAGCATTTTGCACACTGTAAGTCTTGGAGACTTGCGTCTAGACACTCCCCTAGTGCTTGCTGAAGGATTTTCTTCAGCAATATGCAAACGGTATGTATTCACTCGCGAAGCCTCGGTGGGATTTTGAAGACCCTCAAAACTCAAACAGTCTGGTGAAAGGTTTTGAAATCATGCAGTTGTCACTTTTTTTAACCAGTCTGAACATATAAAAGTTTATCTCGTTTCGTCAACAGAGTAACTGCTAAATTGATTTAGACTAGTGAATTATGCTGCCCTGTTCCAAAAATTGGTGCATTCATGGGTTCACTAATAAAATATAGACAAGTTTCAAAATTTAGTATTTTTGCTCCTGGATTTTTCGTTGATTCCTAATGAGTTTGACGTGGGAAATAAAATTCAGGTACCTGTTAAGTGGAATCATGCTCAGAGCTATATCTTGAGCTGCCTGTGTTGATGTCAATGCTGATGAAAATTTGGTTTTGATCACACCTGGGGCAACACAGTTGACAGTAATGTTCTCTTTAGCCAACTGTACTGCAGCTGCCTTGGTTAGGCCTAGAAGAGCTGTCTTACTCACTGAATAGGCTCCTAGAAGGGTCATAGGCTGAAAATACGGAAGAGGACTAATAAAAAAATCAACAAGGTGTTTAAAAATTGGGTAAAATATTTTAAGAGTTTGTAGGGGAAAGTTTCCATTTTCATCTGTCAAAGTTGCAAACAGATCAGGCTTCATAAACTTATGTAATTCAGGAAGTTGAACTATATTTTTACCTGAAATCCTGCTATGGATGATATGAATATTATCCGCCCAGCTTTGCTTTGCCTAAGTAAAGGTAGTGCTTCTTGAGCTAGTAAGAATGAGGATTTCACATTTACTTCGAATATCTTCTCCCAGGCATCCTCTGGACAGTCCAGTACTTCACCCATCACCGGGTTTACTGCAGCATTTGATACCAAAATGTCCAGGCCACCATACTGTTTGGCAACTTCAAACAGTTTTTTCCTATCCTCTGTTTTTGCTACATGACAAGGTACACCTACAAAAAATTAAACAGAGGTAGAGAGGAATCTCTTTTCACTTGTACAAGGCCCCCCTGGAGCTCTTGTGGGTCCCAGTGTTAACTTGCCACTGGATTCTGACCCCCACCTCATTTTAATCCAAGGAGAAAACTTCTTGTCCAGATCATATGATATGCAGAGGCTTTTTGATACTTTCATGTTATAGTATCTCAAAATAAAACTTTAATTTTCATCTACAAGCGGTTGAAACTTAAGTAATTTTGCATGGAATATGACAATCATAAAATCGTCAAGTGTTGTTGGGCCAAATTCAAGTTAAAAAATTTGTCAATTGGGACATCGAATTTGGAATCTACATACCCAATCTACTTATGGAATGCAGAGTTTTTTTTATAAAAAACTGCAAATTATCTACTATCCCTTTTTTATGTAAAATTCCCATTTCTGTCTCCTATTGTTACAAGCAGATCAAAACATGTAAACTTAGATAATTTGAGGTTGATTAGAAATACTACTTCAAACTGAAATGAAGTAGTATTCTTCACTTGGGACCACCTATGTTTCCCACCACTAAATTGACACCAGATTTGAGATGTAGGTACACATTCAATTCACCCAGGAATGAGTTTGTGACCAGAACATGGTCTTTTTACATTTTAGGATAACTGTGTGCATTATGGTCGATATTATAGCATGATGTCTATTATCTCAAACTCTTATTTATATATATATATATATACAGTGTGTTTCAAATTCGACACTCACGATTGGAATCTGGAAAGTGGTAAGAGATATGAAGTTGCTTATATGGGGGCAAAGCAGCATATTTAGATAATCAACATGCTGCTTATAAGGTTTCGAAATACGGACTGCTTCCACAGAGAGACAGAAAAAACAGAATTTTCCCAAATTTTGTTTAATTTTCTCCAGACTTTGGGAAACTGTAAGAGATATGAAGTCGCTTATATGAGGGCAAAGCAGCATATTTAGATAATCAACATGCTGCTTTGAAGGTTTTGAAATATGGACTGCTTCCACGGAGAGACAAAAAAAAAGAATTTTCACAAAATTGTTTTAATTTTCTCCAGACTTTTATGTGTAGTGGGATTTCATGATAAATAGGACATTAGCATTGCTACTTTTTCTCCAATAAATATTGACGTCCATACTACAGGGTCAATAAATACTACACTTTGTCATAAATTCTGATGGACCATAGTAAATATTGAACACTTAGTATTCCCTTACCTGTAACATCTAATCCCTCTTGTGATAACAATTTGACAGCTTCCTCCACATTCTGCTGTTTCCTACTACTTACAATAACTTTAGCTCCCTCTTGACCCAGCCTTTTAGCTATAGCAAAACCAATACCGTCTGTAGATGCTGTCACTATAGCTATTCTACCAACTAGACGTTTTAATGACATATTTTAAAGGTTTCTAGTACACACTGAAAAGAAATGCGCGAGTTTTATATTAGTGGTGATATAAATATTGCAATTTTCTGGCTAAAATTATGATATATCCACTGTTATCACCTGTGTATGATCACTTGATTTGTGTTGCTGTCTCTTCAGACTTTGACCCCAATAATTGTTCTTTGTACCTAGTTCCTAGCTATTAATATGGACAACATTTCACATAAAACTTAGATAACAATTTTTACATACGGGTGCTAACGATCAAGATAAATTGTTTAAGTGTATTTACACCCAAGATAGAATGAATGCGTGATTGCCAAAAGCAAGGTCGGCATACAGGGCCGCATTCAGGGCTACGCTTTGCTTATTTTGGATGACATGGGGGGTAGGGGAGTCTAGATGATGATTACGTCATCTGTAGTTATTTACTTTACGAAACGCATTTTCGGGTATTCCCGCAAATAATGCATACATTTAGTGAACAGCGCGCGGTAATTCCCCTATTCGCTTTAGAGCCGAGTAGGGGAATTACCGCGCGGTGTTCACTTGTCTAAATTTCCTCTATCAGTGTATTGTTTCGTTTGGATACTATAGAGAGTAGACGTATTGTAAGCATAGTAAAGCAAGTTAACATTTGTGTTACCATTGATTTCATTAGCCAAAGTTTAATGTTTAAATAAGATGTCTTTTCACATAGACAAATCCAAGTTATACCAAAAATTGTTTGAAAGTTTTAAAAAATCTCATACAAGTACGAAAGTACAAAATGTACAACAGTTAGTTAACGAAGTGTGGCGAAATTACAAATTACAAGAAAAATCCGACAAGGAACTCTAGATATTATTGTATCTAAGAGAATCGAAGAAGAAGTGCAAGCGGCGACTAAGAATAAATCCAATCTACTAAATTTTTTTTCTAAGGTGAGTGACGAAATCATTTTCGGTACCTAGTACTAGAAATATTAGAAATCGCCAAAAAGTTTCTCTTTACTGATTAGAAAATATTATGGCCTATCTCAAAGTATAGAGGTAATATTTATTATATTATAGATTTATTTCTTATGATTGATTCTGTCACTTGGTCACAAAGTACAGGATGTTAGTTTTATACATATATATATATATATATAGAAAACCAACACCCTGTATTTTGTGACCAGAACGAATTGCTCTTTTAAACATATTAGATTTAAAGCCATAGGGTTTTGTATTTACCATATATATTGCCATACTTTGTATTTATGTAGCTTAATAAATATCCATAAAAAAGTAAACACAGACACTGATAGGAAAGTTAGACCTGTAAGAGTCGCTGCTCATCGTGCTAATGAACTGATGTGCATTATTCAAAATTTAGAGCACCAAGATGTTGAATGGCTCGATGAGAACGACGTAGACATTCGAAAATCCGATGAAAGCGAGCAAACTCACAACACTGAGCAGCATAGAAGCAATCCAATGTCATCGCAAACTTAGAATCATAGATTCGGGTTTCATGGACTGAAGACTGTTCATTTGAATTTAATATATGTACCAAAAATTTAAAATAAGTTTGTGATGTTAGTAAGATATAATATTTTTGTCCTCTACTCCAGGGCTGTCCATCATACGAACTCCTTTCTTGCCTCACGGGTCATGTATACATCACATGTATAAATTACTCTCAAATATAGTATAGTATATACCTATGAAAACTCAGTAATAATGTTGCATAGAAAGATTTTATAATGCGGCCCTCCAAACTGCATTTTTTTTTTAAGATGCCCTTGGGCCACATTAAGTCGGACAGCCCTGCTTTACTCTATGTTGTATGTATCAGTAAAATATAATCTCTATCCTAAATCTATTTTCATATTTTTCAAATTATAATTATAAGGTTATAAATATAATATTAAAAAAAAATACATTAATTAACAAAAGGCGGCTACAGACGCACGCTGATGACTGAATTCATGAACGCGCGTGCGTTAACGTGCATGCATAGACACGAATTTGCTTTATGTACAGACGCTCAAACTTTTCTACCGACTTTTAATGGGTGTGCGCGACGGAAGAAGTTGTGATGTCCGATGAAGAGCTTGCTGTTATGGCAGTGGCGGGCAATTACGTTTTAAAAAGTCGAAAAAGCGTCGTCGCCTGTGGTCTAAGGAATGGCTTTTGAAAAGGCAGTCATTTTCACATATTAACTTATTGGAAGAATTGAAAGGAGAACCCGATGATTGGCGTAATTATTTACGAATGGATGAGGATACCTATGTAGAATTGTTAGAAATGGTTACTCCACTAATAAAACGTCAGGACACAGTTATGAGATCTGCAATAAGAGCACACGAACGGTTAACCGCAACCCTTTGATATTTGGCGACTGGACGAAATTATCACGATTTAAGATTTTCTACGATAATACCTCCGCAAGCGTTGAGCGAAATAATTCCTGAAACATGCTCATCTATATACCAAGTACTACAGCAAAAATACATGAAGGTAAGAAAAACATGAAATATATTTTCATTAAATAAGGAAAAACATAACAGCATATCCATAACAGTATAATATTAATTATTGTAAAGGATTATAAGAGCCCTAATACACAGCAGCTGTATTACTATTATTAATTGTTGTTGGTTGGTTGGTTGGTGTAGACTGAGTCTAGATGGGATCACAGTTTGGTAGCGAAGGGAATAATGTATTACTATTATTAATTGGTGTTGGTTCGGACGTTATTCTTGTATGTTCGTTAACTTTTCCTAACTCCGCTGGAAATAGGATATCGTTTATTAATTTTTCTGAATATAGTCGTATTTCTCTTGGCAATCGCCGTAATTTGACTGCTATCGATTTTCCCATAAGGTCGAACTCGTCTGCCGGTTTATTGAGTCCTGTACCGACAATGTCTAATATCTGATCTGCTTTATTAATATTTTGGTGGTGTGCTTTGAATTTTTTGGACCTTTTAGGTAAAGGTGGTGATGATCGACTGGATAGTGCTGATGAAGGTCTTGATGTGCTCGCCATATTATGTTCTGAATGTGCCTCCATTTCAGTTTGTTCAGATACGGCATCACCTACCTGAAAATAATACACACATATTATATTATATATTTATATATTTTATAATTGATATTTTTTACAGTTTCATACAACAGAAACAGAATGGAAAAGTATCTCTGAAGGCTTTGAAGAAGTATGCAACTTTCCTAATTGTGTAGGAGCCGTAGATGGCAAGCATGTTCAAATCAAACCACCACCGGGTAGCGGAGCATTTTATTATAATTACAAAAGTTATAACAGTTTACTTCTCATGGCTATATGTAATGCAAATTATGAATTTATAATGTGTGATTTTGGTACCACCGGTCGAATATCGGATGGAGGATTCATAGCATGCACTCATTTCTACACAAAATTAAAAAAAAAACTTTAAAGCTGCCACCTGCAACATGCCCACGAAACAGTGACAGAGAGCTACCATTTGTATTCGTTGGAGATGAAGCTTTTGTATTACGTAGTGATTTCTTAAAACCTTACAGTCAAAACGACCTGAATCATGATCGAAAAATTTATGATTACCGCTTATCAAGGGCACGATACAAAATTGAAAATTCATTTGGCATACTATCAGCAAGATTTCAAGTACTTCAGTCAGCTATCAGTCTACAGATAGAATCGATAGACAAGGTCGTAAGGCTTGCTGCGTCCTGCATAATTTCTTAAGACGCAAATGCAGTCAGTTTTACACACCAATGGATTCTTTAGATCAAGAAAATCGTACAGACGGAACGGTGCAAATGGGGCTTAGAGCAAATCCTTCGCAACTAGCAAACCTGCAATGTAGCCATAGCAGAAACTTCAGTAGCGAAGCAAGTCATGTGCGTCGAGAGTTTACTCAATTTTTTAACGAAGAAGGGGCTCTGAGTTGGCAAGAACGAATGATACAATAATAATTAATGGTGCCATCATAACAATCAAAATTTTTGCTTTTTTCGTCAGTTTAAGAAGTAGTTTTCTGAATTATTATCACTTAAAAATTAAAGCTGGCTGCTACAATTTGGAAGATTGTACACCACCTACTTTTTACATATCAGTAAAATAAATATTAAACATATACTTTATTTAGTTATTGACCTACCTCTCTTCCATTCTCCTTTTCATCTATTTGCGTCTCTAACACGTCGTCATGCACCTCTTCTTCACTTTCAATATTTGAAACAGACTATCTTGGTATCTTTTGATCTTTAACAGTAATTCGTAATACCACAGGGATGGCACATACACAGCTTCCAACGCAGATCCACTTCTTTTCGAATTTTGTACTTTTTTATGTTCTCTTCGGAAACCACCACGTGGAGTATTAATTTTTGTTATGACTGATTGTTTTGTAGCATTAGGTTGAATACTTTGTAACTTTTCCTGTAACAATGTATATGCTGCATTTTTTTTATTTTTATCTAGATATTCTTTTGCTTTCGTTTCTCAGAGACAATGATGTGCCCTGTACAATTCAATGAATTCTCTGGTGAAGTCTCGAGTCACTGTTCTGATGTCAGACATCTCTACAATCAATAAAAATTACTTACTCGAAGATAATTCGTACTTCGTTGATCAACGGCACTGACCTCTGATTGTCTGCGGAATTCGCACGTTCTTTTGCCTCTACACGTTGAGACTTGCATGCGCGTCTCTGCACGCGCGTTTAAAATTTCTGTCGAGAACTGAAATTTGCACGCCACGCCAATCGTGAACGCACGTTCATGAACGCTGCCGATATCTGCATACACATTGACGTTATTGAGTGCGCGTTTACGAACGCGCGTTTATGTATTAAGTCATAAGCGTGTGTCTGTAGCCGCCTAAATATTTACGAAAGCATGGGGGGAGGGGGTAAGAGCTTTGCTTACTTTTACAAGGGGATGGGGGGGGGGGGGGGTAAATAATTGTAATAAATCTGCTTAGGTAATACTTGAATATAAATACTTACCAAAAACAATGGTTATGGAGTAAAATATTAGCAAAACGCTGATTCACGTATTGATCTTGAAAAACAACAGTTGCAGTCGCAACTTTTTATTATATTAGATTGAATTATTGTTAAAGTTTCTTCAGGTATTTTAAAAAAAAATTGGAAATTTTGGGTTTATTTTCGTTTTTCTCTTTGTCTAAAGACTTCACTCACAATCACAACACAAGTCACAAAACATGAAGTACGTCCGAGTACGATCCGGGGGTGAAGCATTATGAAATTTAATTCTATTTCTAGAGATGTCGACCATCTTCTAAGCTAATGTCAGGCCAAGCTAAATTATTTTAATTTTTACACGGAGTAACGAAATGATAGAAGTTCTGCACCAATTCTAAAGCAGATTGTTATTCGATTGGTAATTATTGATAAACTGAGATGAAATCAATAAAAATTACTCCCAGCCAGGCCGTATGCTCCGCTGTTCGATTTTCGTCCGCCGGCGCGCATGAGGTCACGCGAAGAATGATTATCATTTGGGTTGATATGGATAACGTGCATATTTTCAACTACAGGCCAAACGGCTGGACGGATTTTCACATATGGGGTGTCGTTGGATTCGTCTTAGCGGTGCGAGTGACACTAGCTACATTGAAATTTTATAAAAAATCAAATGGTGTATTTTAATAAAAGATTTCAACCTTGTAATTCTTACTTCATAGGCTGCAGATCAAACGGCTTGATAGATTTTCACATATGAGGTGTCGTTGGATTCGTCTTAGCGGTGCGAGTGACACTAGCTACATTGAAATTATATAAAAACAAAAAGGTGGATTTCAATAAAAGATTTCAACCCTGTAATTCCTATTTCACAGGCTATAGCTTAACCGGCTTCTAGCTCCACAATAGAGCGTATCGCCTCTTCACTGTAAAAACAAGATAACTCCATTTTTCTACATTACCTATATTTTAGTATGTTCTGTGGAGCAGGAATAACATGTTTATGTCATAATACTGTATTACATTTATCCTTATTCCACAGAACATCCTAAGTGTGAAAATGTACGCGACTCGAAAAGTAGAAAAATGGAGTTATCTTCTTTTTGCAGTAAGGTGGTGATATAACAATAAATGGAAATGACTTAGTCTAAGCAACAATTTTTTTCCATTTCCTTTTACGATTTTTCTGGTCTTTCAAACTTTTATTCAGTTCTTTGATCCGGAAGAACATCCTTGACCTGAAAAACAGTTTTTTAGTTTTTTCAGGGCAGTCAATGTTGCTGCTCTTCAACAGACGTTCACCTATAAAATTTTGCTTTTTTGTCACTATTCCGACCCCATTAAATGTAGTGAATACCTTGTTCAGATTCTCAATTTGATTCATGAAAGTTGCGGAAGGTTTTGATAATCCACCCTCACTAAGGTGGTTTATCCACGAATAAGTTTCATTTCAGGAACTTTTCAACCTCTCATCCTGCAATTTATTGCAAACAAAGCCGGCCAAATTTTACAGCCCGTCATACTCGAGGTCATCTATTTCTTCCGCTAAAACTTGCTCGGTATAGTCAGCTGATACTTCAGGTGCATTCAGTTTATTCTCGTTAATGATGCGGTTAGTGGAATGTCTGGAGTATCCTCTGACTCTACGCTGAAATAGGTACTCTATGCGCCTTCGTTTTGCCCCAACATATATGACCTTATTCTATACTTAAACTCTAGAGGACTTGTATGGTCATGAAGACCATCTTTTGCCCTAATCACTCCGAAAAAGTTTTCTATCACATCTTGATCAAGACGTCTTGTTAACAGGTATTGGACGCTGAAGCGTCGTTTCAGATCCTCTAGAGCATTTTCTAGCAAACCCTAGCGCTTTTTACATTGACTTTGTCTTATCTTTTTGTGAGCTGTAGCCATTTTTTTGCTAAAGTTTGAGTCTTGAGGAAAACTGTGGAACTCCATGTCTTTGCAAATATTCCGTTTAGATTGATTGTCGGAATTACATCCCACAATAGCACACCGCATTTTTATCAATTTATCAAGCACCCAGGGTATATAAGGTATGTACAACTAACACAACAAGTCACAAAACCACCAAAAAACACCAACAAATCACACTATATAGTATTCATCACGATACACGTGAACTGCAGTAACGTTACGACAATCCTGCCGCTGCTAATCACGAGCCAATAACTCTCCGGGTGACGTCACGAAGCTCCGCCTACATGCGCAATATCCTATCTTCAGTGTATGTGTATTTGTGTATCGTGATCGTGTATTCCAGCGCAATGTAATGTTTTCGTCTGTTTCTCCTTCTACCAGTTTAAACATGGCCGCGTTTTCTATTATATGTCATTTATTCTTCTTAATTGCTTTCGTCTATGCCATAACATCTGTCAGGTATTGTCACTGTCACCTGTGCCTACGGTCTGTCATTTCGCTGCCGCGGGTTCGGGCGAGTGTGTCATTGCGTGAGTGGCTCCTAGAAATCGTGAATTTTCAACGATTCTGCAGTTATTTTGGACAGAAAACCATGCATTTTCCTCAAAAGTAAACATCGTAGCACACTTTCACACTAATTTCTGCATGGATCCTCCATTGTCCTGGGGATTGCCAGAGCAAGACGGTAGGGCAAAGCTTCTGTGGCACAGAGTTTGGCAAACCCATCAAGAACTGGAAATGTTGAACTTAAAAGACATTGATAGTGACGTTGATATAATGGCTAACGTAGTTGCGAATGGCAAAAATGACTTGAACAAGCCTAACAACTATCCAAACCGCCGCAGACCTGTCCTAAAAATTATCGATAGGAAACCTCCTCCAGACTATGGCGGATGTCCGTGGAGACTACCTAGATTTTCCTATGGTAGGGCAGTTGTGGGGTAAGTGATAATGTGACTGTTATTGAATAAATTGTGTTCATGACCATATAACCATAAAAAGTGCAGTCGAAGTTTGAAGAACATTCGTGATACTACGTAGTTTAAATTTTTGGCAATAGGTGGCTCAGTGGTTAATTCATCGAATTTGTTTACTGGGCATGCGTTATAATATAGTCCAAGACTATTAGAAATAATCGTATAAAAATATTGTAAGCTTTTTTTTTATTTCGTTGAGTATTACTAGTAAACAATGTTTGTAAAAAACATGCCGAGCAGAAACTACTGTTCAAAGCAGGAATTTCAGCTATACCAAATGCTGAGGAATGTGTTCAGGTACTACTTTTTTATGTAGTAATTTTTTTAGTGTCAGGTTAGTTTCTTAGGATTTTGAACTGCAGGCACCCAGTCGGCTGTTATAAGTGCGAGCTGTGTGTGTACCTCTTCCTGTGGAATCATAAATAGCTCTTAAATGGATCAATTGCCAGTCTTTTATCATTATTATCCTTTGGAGGTGCCAGTTTTTATTCCTTTTGACTGGTTGCAAAGGTATTCTATTTAAGACATAAAAAATCTAGTTGCAGGCACATGTTCTGTTACATATTAGGGCCTGCCAGAGTATGTGGCATATATTGCACAACATGTGGAAGGCACATTATCTTGATATCTGTATCATTTTCGCCACATAGAACTGAAAAGTCCCTAGTAATATTTGCAGCACAGGTTGCTTGCCACAGTCTCTTGGTGCATTTTTGTCCCTAGTAGTTGCTCCCTAATGTTGCAGACTGTACACATTTTTGGCACATGATGAATGTGTATGCTAGGAAGCAGAATTGTTCTAATAAAAATATACCTCAGGAGTTTTTTTAGCCAAGATCTAAGTGAATCTGTTATATAACATTCTTTTCAAATTTTAATCTAACCCTTCTTTTGGTAAATATATTTTTCAGGATCATAATTCATTGTTTTTTGTAACATTATTTTTTATAGGCTACACCAAGAGATTGAGCACTTTTACCACTACATGAGCCCTTCTGAGGCTGAAAACCAAATCAGAGCAGAAGTAGTAGCTAGGATAGAAAAAATAATCCTTTCAAAATGGAATGAAGCCAAAGTAGAGGTTTTTGGATCATATAGAACAGGCCTGTATCTACCTACCAGTGATATTGATTTGGTTGTTTTGGGTAAGCTACTTGAATTTGAATTTTGTCATACAGCATATTTGATACACACCAGCAGAATTCTCAGCAATGTGATTGGTTAATGCATCACATAATAATAAGAATAATTTTATTTATAAATATTTGCCCCTGATACATGAAGGAGCAAATAAGGGGCTGATGAAGACAATGCATCTTACTAAAAAAAACCTGAAATTCACTATATATATATATATATATACAGTGAAAGCTCCAATAAGCGGACACTCACGGTTCCGTAACTTTTGTCCGCTTATGGGAGGTGTCAGTTTAAAAGAGAGTATGTAAGTATAGAGTATAAATAACGGGGTATATAATCATGAGGAAATGAGGTATTATAATCATGAGAAAAATGAAACAGAAACTCGCCACATTTTTAAAGTATGTATTTATGCTATATATCTATATAATATATGTACATATACGCATACAAAAACATAAATGCTTCAATACATGGTACGAGAATTTAAAAAAAACATTATTCTTTAGCTTGTTGAAAAAAGTTTAAAATGTTTGTCTGACGAAATTTCACCATCTTTTGCTGAAGGAGACAATTTTCGTAATAACTTTCTAAATTTTTCAAATGTTGAAATGCAGTGAAATCATCTTTAGCAAATTTTTTCAATATAGAAATATGATTTAGAGCTTCCCCATATGAATTTATCGTTTTTGAACCGCTTAGTGAGTCCACCAGTTCCACTTCTTCTTCTGAGTCGTTTGGACTACCATATTCAAGTTGGCCTGGGCTTTCTACATCCAAATACGAAAAGTTGCCAATGGCATTTTCTTCTGTTGTTATGTTATTGTCTATGGCCAGGAAATCATCTACTTTCTGGGGATCTGCTACTCCTAAATGTTTGGCATGTCGCAGTAACTGAGGTGTCGCTAAGGGCAGATCATCTTCAGCATCGCAATAATTTTGCTCAGCAAATTCTGAGCTACATTCACTTTTTCTGAATCCAGCTTTGCCAAAACAGTTTTTAATTGTAGAGGAATTTACTTTATTCCATGCTGTTTTTATAAAATACAAAGCTTCTAACACATTGATAGACTTTGTAAGCTCAGATAAGCTTTGACCATTGTCAATTTTTGTTAAAATATGTTTTAAAATCAAGTGCCGATAATAAAATTTAAAGTTCTGTATGACACCTTGATCCATGGGCTGACAAACAGAAGTTGTGTTTGGCGGTAAAAATATAATTTTCACATTTTTCATTTTCATATCACGAGGATGAGAGCATGCATTGTCTAAAAATAAAAGAACTTGCCTTTTTTGGATTCTCATTTTCCGGTCGAATTCGACTAACCACTCAGACATGATTTCTCGGGTCATCCATGCCGTCGCTGGTAGATCCTTAATAGCAACGTTTTTTAAAGCACGGGGACGAGCCGCTTTCCCGATCACAATCAAATCGCATTTTTCACCGGCCATATTTGCACAGAATAAAATGGTTAGTCTATCTTTAGACAACTTTCCACCCACACATGTTTCTCCTTTAAAGGACAGAGTTTTGTCGGGCAATGCGCGAAAAAAAAGTCCACTCTCATCTGCGTTGTACACATCTTCTGGTTTGTAGCCAAGCAACATGGACGGAAGTTTCTCCAAAAATTGTGACACATCAACTTGATCTACTGCAGCAGCTTCGCCAGATATGCATTTGAAACTCACACTATGTCTCTTGCTCCACTTTTGCAGCCACCCGTCGGACGCACTGAAATTATTATAGCCCAAAGTAGTGGCGATTTCTTTAGCTTTCATTTTCACTAACGGCCCTGAGATTGGAATGTTCTGACTTCTAGCTTTCACAAACCACTCAAAACATGTTTTGTCTATAGCAAAAGCTTCCTTTTTTAAAAAATCCTTCTTTTGATTTATATTAGTTCCTGATTGCCATTTACTCCTAATATCATCCTTATTTTTGACAATTTCAGCTGCTTGCGTTTTCCCAATATTAAACCTCTTTGCCAAATGACGAACTGAAACACTTTCTCTGTCTAATACGTTAACAACTTCCATCTTTTCCTTTAACGAGAGCATCCTTTTTTTTTTGGTGCCATTTTACAGTTACAATAATAAAATACGTAACTCGATCAACTACGAATTTGCCTGAACTGAAGACAAGCCACAAGATTACATACAGGCTACCCAACGAAATGCGTAAATGGGGAATCACCTAATATAAATCGGGGAATTACCGAATTTTATGTATGTAGATATGTGCATTGCAATAAGCGGAACTAAAAAATCGTCCGGGTATTAGAGTTTCGCGTCCGCTTATGGGAGATTTTTTGATCACATACAGGAAAATCTAGTGTCCGCGTCCGTTTATAAGAGCGTCCGTTTATCTGAATGCATTTAACATTGAAAATTGATGGCTGAAATTCGGTTCCAGGAACTTTATCCGGTTAAAAGAGATGTCCGCTATATATATATCTGGTGCTAAATATTATGTCAGTTTTATTTTTTATTACAATCACTCCATTAGCTGCAAACCATTTGTTAATTTCATCATAACAGCTCTTGATGTTGTTATGAAGATCCATGATATTTCTGCCCCCTTCTATTACATTTATATAGTCAGCAGTTCAACTTCTCGAAAAATAATGCAATATTAGCAGATAGAGGTCTATAATTCATTACTACAACTATAATCACAATATTTGATCCCTCAATCACACCAATCACTGACCGTGCCGTGATGGAATTCATTTCTTAAAATCCATCATATTCAAGCGCGGAAATGAAAGGTGTGAAACTTTGGAAGTATTTATGTCTACGGCAACACTATCACAACTAGCGGCAAAATGTGCGATACCCTAAACAAATTAGTGTTGATGCTTAATATGAGTACAGATTTGCGAGTATGACACGATTCTAAAATCTCATTGAAGTATACAGGGTGTTTCAGAACTATGGGATCAAACTTGTAGGGGCTATTCAGTGTAACAGTAGAAAGCATTTGAGTATAGGGACCCATATCCTGAAAAGTGTCACTAAAAAGTTCTTTCCATGTTTTTATCAGAAAGATATTATAGCGAAGTCACCCTTTTTCTTTGAAACTGTGATCTGAAGCAAATATGTAATACGAAAATAATGACATTATCTTTTATTTAAAAACATCCGTCTAATCCACTAAACCACTAATGATTGTCTAGACCTAGTTGTAACTGGTCCGAGGTTGGCTAGGCCTTCTTTTAGTGTAATGCAAGTGCCTAATCCTAGGTCTGGCCATGAATACATAGGCTATATGTAAGACTAACCACATGTTGGGCTTCAGTCATAATATACAACTGTGAATCAAATATCAACCGGACTTTTATTTTTGTAATTTTGTTGGTGTAGTAAATACAAGTTTATCTACATCTTCTTTTTCTACATAATCTCTCCCATCGGATCGCAAGTTTTTTAATCCCCTCATCAATGATTGAAGCCAATTGTGGACGAACGGTTTCAAATCTTTGTCGTCGTCAAAGTGGTGACCTCTCCCAGGTCTTCTTTAAGCAGCCCAAACATGTGATAGTCACATGACTACATTCGATATTGTAAGGCGGGTGTTCAAGTATTTTCCTATGAATTTCGCTGTGTGCGGCCGAGCGTTGTCATGGAGCAGAATTGCACTTCGAATAGGCATGTCTCGCCTTTTTCGCCGATAGACCAGTTTCACTTCTTTAAGCAATTGGCAGTAATAAGCAGCCTTAACTTTACGGCGATCTTGAAGAAAATCAACTAGCAGTACACTTCTGGAATCCAAAAATGCTGTTGCAAGAATTTTCCTGCAGAAAGACTCCATGGAAAAAAAGTTTGCCAGTCGTATACTTGTGTCCTTGAAACTGTCTTATCGCCGAACTGTGCTGTTAATCGACGCAAAATTTCGAAATGTTTTACGCCCTCCTGGGACAAAATTTTTATGATAATGCGTTGCGCAACAGACGTGTGCAACTCTCTTAGACATAATGCTACTAACAGCTCATCTACTTCGGCGGACCAAACCGACTGGCTCCCCTCTTCCTAACATCTCCACCCAATATATACCAAGACGTCGCCCCACTCCATTCACCTATGGCGCGTTAAGCAGAAAAGTCCGGTTCATATTTGATCCACCTCGTATCTCTAGAAACAATCAACTTAATCGGATTATCCCTGAGTACATAAAAATGTCTAGCTTGTTACTGCAGTCAGCGAGTTCTATTCTGGAATTCATCTAGCTGGCTGCTTCCTTTGATAATAAAGATAACCAGATAGTATTGTAATTATTTTTTCAAGCTTATAAAAAAGTACTTCTAAATGCATTGTTCAGTAGCCCATTATATTGTTAGGAGCTTAGATCTCTAGACAAGTCTCATGCTTACTTTTTTTACAGGCAAATGGTCTAGCCTACCACTTCGTACCCTAGAGCAGGAATTCTTAGAAAAAGATATAGCAGTAGAGAATAGCATCAAAGTCTTAGATAAAGCTTCAGTTCCCATAGTGAAGCTAACAGATAAAAAAACTGATATCAGAGTTGACATATCCTTCAACATGTCCAATGGTGTGAAATCTGCTGAGCTGATAAGAACATATGTGGAGAAATTCCCAGTGTTGCCAAAGCTAGTCTATGTCCTAAAGCAGTTTCTTTTAGAAAGGGATTTGAATGAAGTTTTCACTGGAGGCATCTCAAGTTATAGCTTGATCTTGATGTGCATTAGTTTCTTACAATTACATCCCAGACAAGATTCTATAAGGGATAATTCTGCTAACTTGGGTGAGTTTTGCTTCAAATATATTGTAAAAGGCGAGCCCTGTTCAAATCCAAAGATAAATGTTTCATGATGCCTCCTGAAATTGTTTCTATTAACAACTTGAATAAATCATGTCAAAAATTGCTATGCAATAAAGTTTGAATGGATTTTAGAGCATTTGGGCATTTCAAAGTTTGTTTTTGGAAATATTTTGGTTGTATCATGGTGACCTTAATTTTTTCATTAAATATGGTTTTCAGGTCAAATATGTTGTTTTATCACCTTTTGAAAGACGAATTTAGTTGAAAACCAAAGGAAAGCCTCTGCTTGCGAATTTTTTGTGGGAGATTGTCAGATTTGTTGATTTCATCCAACAAGTTTGAATAGGTTAGAAGGAGCCAAGCCTATATCCTATTTCAGGAGTATCCATCATGGTAGAATAACAGCTGAGAATCTAATAATATCTCAAAATTCCCCATATTGGCACAGGACACATAATTCTGACGGATCCGTCAACGCCAGGTAGTCAGAGCCGTATTCTGTTTTGTTTTCTGTACACCACAGATTCATTTTGTACTTGCTAGCAGCTCTTTTATTTAGAAAAGTCCATTTGCATACAAAAAACAAAATGCTGCAAATAAGTTTTACTAGATTTACACCTGATTCATTATTGCCAACGTCGCAGACTAACAAAAAAATGTCACTGATCAGCTGTTCACCTCAGTAGACATCAAAGCGTGCTGGATACTCGTGAAATATGGTATACCTAAACCCTATTTCACGCTTTGACGTCTACTAAGGTAAAAGGCATCAAATGAGATTTTTGTGTTAGTCTGCAACGTTGGCAATAATGAAATGGGTGTAAATCTAGCAAAACTTTTGAATCATTTGTCTACCAAAACCTACCAAAATGACAAATAACACTAATAATGCAAATTTAATGACAGAATTGTCCAAAAGTTTGCATATGTTGCATGCACTTTGATCCTCACTACAGGTTATGAGAATTAGGAGACAAACATATCCTTCACTGGCTCTTTCTACCTAGTCTGAATTCGTTGGTTTCATCTGAAAATAAAATACCAAAGCTCCTACTGAGATGCTCTTTATTTTTAATCATGTCAAGAAATGATATACCGTTTTCAAATTGCAGGTGTTCTCCTTCTTGAATTCTTCGAACTCTATGGTAGAAAATTCAACTACATAAATACTGGCATTAGGATAAGGGATGGTGGTAAATATATTAACAAAGAAGAAATGCAAAGGGAAATGGTAGATGGACATCGACCTAGTATGTTATGTATAGAAGATCCTTTACAACCGTCAAATGATATCGGCAGAAGTAGTTATGGAGTATTACAGGTAAACAAAAATAGTAAAAGTGCTCAGCAGCAACTTGGTCCAAAACTTCTCGTGGAACAAAAGACCTCCATATTTGTCAGCCATGTGTGTCAGATGGTGACACCAACGGTTTACATGGAGGAACTATAACCATGAATGGCGCGCTTTCCAGGCTATTTGAAATCTATAATATGCAACATATCTAAGAAACACTCTAGAATGAGAAATCTGGTAGATTTTTTCTATCATTTCAGAATAGATACCACCTTGATCAAAAAGGATTTATTAAAAAAATGAACAATACAAGTTTATTGTTCAAAATCGATACTGTCCCCTTCAAAGTAGTCCCCATGGACTGCAATGCACTTATGCCAATGCTTGATCCAGTCCTAAGCACTTGAATGTCTTATCTATGAGATCTGTGAGTGACGACTATTTAACATGTTATTATTGTAAACAGAAACAATAAGGTATTGTTCCAAATTTTCAGCGGTACGACGATGCCTACGATCACTCAAAATATAATTGTAGGTCGAAAAAGACCACTCCACATTTACGGAGAGTATTTGAATCTGGGTACTATGCTAGCTTTTATTGTCTCTGGCAAAACGCACCAGTACCATTAATAAAGCTCTCAATTTGACTGCTTAGGCTGGACGTTCATTGGAAGAATATTCGAACATAAAATGTAAGCGCGAATTCACTCGAACGTCTCGTCTACCAAATTTTTTATTGGAAACCTTATCATCTGGCGAAAAAGCGTGAGATCAATAAACTTGTCTAGCTGCAACGTAAAATTTATTTTTTTATCGAGATAACATGCCGAAAAAGTTGTAAATATAGCAAAAATATGCAACGTCTCTAGATTTTTGTTGAAATATGAAACAACCAGCAAAAACAGGCTTAATATGCAAATGCATATAATCTGGTTTCTACTTATAACCAAATATTTCAGCTGATATCAATCACAGAACGGCCGAGTGATCACTGTGGCCGTTCGATGCCGCCGATTCTAGCACTATAATAATAATTTTGTGTATTTGTATGAATTCATTATTGAACCTTGTTTTATATTCATGATTCTCTTTTGGAGTTGTTTAATTAGCATAATTATTTTTAACATGGATCAGACATTCCAGTATATACACTTAAAACCAAATATCACTGACACCGTAATGTGTACGAGAAGCGTGCCATATGTGTGTTAGAGATCCGAGTACGAAGTCACTGATGCCATACGCGCACTCTTTCTAACACATATTGCACGCTTCTTGCTTCTCGTACACATTACATCATCTAAATTTTAACCTCATCATACAGGTACAGTTAAAATTTTTAGCTTAATAAATGTCTGCTTGCAACACTGTCTGAAAAATAAGTTTGCTATTATTCTCAAGCATCATCTTTGAACAGCAAATACCTTCGATACATGAGATGAATGTTCTCAAATCAGTATGGAGTATTGCAGTAAGTTAGACTGGAAATAAGCACAATAAGCTGTCATCAAAGTTGGTATGTAGGTATTTAAATTACGGATCATACAAGTTATTTTAGATAACTTCTTTGATAAAGTGATGTTTGATTCCCAAGTTAAACTCGCATCAATAAACAGTCCAAGAAATTTCACGGGTTCTATTAGATTTCATTTATGTGAACGAGTGCTGAATGAAATAGAATTTTATGGTAGATAAAACTCCAACAAACAGCTTGCAATTTTCACTTTTGCAGTGGTCGATTCGGGTGAGAGATGGCACTTTGTGCTGTCTTATTTCTATAGACCTAACACTCTTGATAGAGGAAAGTTGCTCTGCTTTCGTTCGGTGGTCTAACTGGCAGCAAGCCTACACCATGCTTAGGAGTTGCCAAATAGCACGAAACTGCTGTCCATTATTCGCCGTATGAGGCTGGCCGGACGATAGCTATATTATTAGTTACGATATTTTTGTTTTGTGGTATAAAAGTCACAATGCTCATCACAGTCGAGATCGCCTTAGATGTGAAACTCTGTTGTTTCGTTCAGCTTGACTTTGTTTCTATTTAAAAATAACAACGAATTCTTTCTTCGCTAGCGTAATTTTTCAATTTATGACTGTAAATCGGCTAATTATTGTTTACATTTAATTAATCATAAACTCTTTGAAATTATGTAATGGATTATCCAATAATAATTAAGCGGTAACGCTGCCAAGGGTGGAATTGTCAAATGTCAAAAATTTCACGTGAGGTTTCGGACCATAGGCATTGAGCTTTGAGTTCTCTTGGTTGGTGCTCGTCACCTTCATAAGATGAATATTTTGTGAAATAGTATGACTCTAGCTGTATATTTTCAAGTAAATCTGTAAGTGATTAATATGAGTATTGATCCGTAGATTTGGAAACATTGTATTGCTCTGTAAAATACTGCTATTTACATTCTAGAAAATATCCTAACTACTCAAGATTAAAGTAACTTCGCTCGTTGAGGGCATGCATGTCACTTGACAGTAATGCTTGAAATACTTCTGTCTCTTTCTGAGTTCTTTGTTGAACATTGTTGCATGTACCTTAAAAGTGCGTTGCTTTATATTGTATATATGTGAGATATTTTTCAATTCAAGCTCCTCAGTTATATCTATTTTTCCGTAAACGTTTTTTTACATTGTCATTCTTCCTGTTCCAGGTGAAACAAGCCTTCGAATATGCCTACACTATCCTCAACAATGTTATGTACCCGTTATCAATGTATGCTGACTGCCAAAGAGCTAGTATTTTAGGAAGGATTATTAGAGTAAGGGATAAGGTAGTGCAGCAAAGGTTGAGGATAGAAAATGCAATGAGACAAGCAAATGTGATAAACCAACAACAAGTGTTCCAACAAAGGCCATCTAGGAGTAGTAGCACAGGCAGTACCACTTCCAGTGCAGAAGAAAGTGTTAGCTCGGGGGTACGATATCTGAAAAAATATTTTTATTTTGTCAATTTTTTCTGAAACATTTCTGACTGATACTTTAGATTATTTAGTTTAGTATACCAGTAATTCATGTAAAATACACTACTCAAAAAATTAAAGGAGCAAGTAAAAAATCCAAAATTTTCAGTGATTTTTGTCAAGTATTTGAGTGAAAAATGCTCGTATCTAAACTTAAAAAAGCATTTAGAGGTTTTTTAGCAGAAATATTTTCGGAGGTATGGTTCTTATACAATTCTAACAGTTATAGCAATGGAAATTTTATTTTTAGTCCACGGGTAAGAAAAGCATTTTGTTTTTGTTAGGCTATCATGTGGATGAGATCATATTCAGCTTCAATGTCATGTTTTTATAATATCGATACAATCATTTGGCGCAGAGATATCAGACTTTAAATGAAAAAGGATTTATTTTCAACAACCACTGATATCTCTGTAACCAGTAATCGCACAGAAGGGTATTTCCGAAAACTTGGAATAAATCTCCTGTAAGATTTGATTGCAAACTTTGAGGAACATTTTTTTTGTTTCCTTAGTAGTGATTTTAATATATTGAAAAAGGTATACTTTATGCTTTGTTTTGGAAAATCGACCCCATTTTTGGAACTGCTTATGAGAAGGGTAATGTTTCCAGGTTTTTTTATACCTCAATGTACCCCTATAACCCTACATGATGGCAGATCGATCCATTGTACGGTTTCCCCGGACCGATTGGTCAAAATTTGAAAGAAATCATAGGAGCAAAATTGTTATATCAAAACATCCTGTAATATGGTTGAAAATAGAAAAATCATTTTTCTTCTTTTGGTGTCACTATATCTTCAATTTTAAAAACAAGCATTTGGAAAAGTTTTATTCTTGTTTCATTCCCCAAAACAAAAATACTAACCAGGGGCAGATCTAGAAAATATTAGTTCCGTCCGACCAAAATGAGTACGATCCGACACTGGATTTGCATCATTTTCAAATTGTAACCAATCGGTCCAGAGAAGCCGTACCATGGATCGATCTGATGTCGTGTAAGATTATTAGAGGTACATTGAGGTATGTAAAAATCTTCTCATTAGCAGTCGCAAAAATGCAGTCGATTTTCCAAAACAAAGCAAAAAGTTACTTTTGGTGAATATTAAAATCAACACTAAGGACACAAAAAAAATTCGTTAAAGATTGCAAAATATATAGCAGATTTATTTCAATTTTTGGAAATATCCTTACATTTCTCTTTGTGATCACTGGTTACCGAGATATCAGTGATCGATAACAAAACGGATCCTTTTTCAAGTCAAAAAGAAGTAAAAAATCCTCGCGCTATTTGGTAGAATTGCGGGAGACCCGTTGCTCCTAAAAATTTTTGGCTAAAAATCCTGAAAACTAGAATCTTATAGCTGAAATGCTTTTTTTGAAGGCTAGATACGACCGTTTTTCACCAAAACACAGCCTGTAAAAATCACCGAAACATTTGGATGTTTTCCTCGCTCCCTAAATTTTGAGTAGTGTATAAAACTATTATTTGGCTCTGAATTCTTGAGAACAAGGAAATATAATATTGGGCTTATTGGAAAATTCTAAACATCCATTCTGTTATTCCTTCTAGGGCTCAGACATACCATCGAGAGACAACTCACCCAATGTTACAAGGCGAGGGAGTGACCACCATTATACCCCTCAGAGACACAACAACTCGCAAAGGAGTCCCAACAACGCGGGAGGCAACAGAGATCGAGAACCCCCATGGAGGAGTAGCAGCCACAGAAATAGCAAGTTCAGAAATAGTCAAAATAATAATATTCATAGTCATAGTCATTCAAAACACAGTAACGGAGGAGGGGTGTACAATCAGACTAAGAGGAAAAAGTAAAGACTGTTACTTAGTGTCATAAGGTAGAGTAAGTAGATAGGGGACAAAATAAAATTAATCTGCACGTTTTTCCTATACAGCGCCTTTCTTTTATGTACACCCCTAATTATTGTTTAAACGGCTCAACAAAGCAAATTAAAATTCGGTGATGAATTTGATGCATAGAAACTACATTTTAATGTACTCAGTAAAATGTTTGTTTTTACTGAGTTTTAATAAAATTGTCTTGATAAAACCTGTCCAACAGAAAAAAATATATAATGATACACATGCGTGTCGGCCAGCACCTAGCAAAAGATTAATAGCTAGGTGCGATCGATACGCTTCAGTTTACTACTTAGACAATTACTCGTATTAAGCCTAAAAAATTAAAATTTTGGAGAAAAAAACATTGCCGCATCTGGGTTACTCTGCATCATAGAAGCTAGCAGTGAAAGGGTTAAACAGACTTTTCAAACAAATTCACTCCGGTTAAAGTATGTTTAGGCTTTTTCTGGCATTCTCGACAACTTTTTGAAGGTGATATCCCGATACAATATTTGAAAAAAAGCAAGATGTACATTTTTCAAAAACGATATAGAAAAAATCCCAAAGTATCTAGGTGGTGTTGTTATTTTTTTGTTATTGTTAGCCTTTTTTTAATTACCTATCAGTGTAAGGTATCTTCCACGTGAGAGGGAGAGAGTTTGCTGCCTCCACGGTTGCATCTTCTCATGCTTACCCATAGCATACGTTTACAATTGAAAATCAAAGGCTTATTAAAAATACCCTCTAAAATGCTTTAGGATTTCATTGATGGGTGTCTGAAGGATATTTAGGAACTTGGGCAACATTAATATTTTCGTTTTTTCATATTATTTTTCGAAAATTGGATATTTCGCACTTCTTCAAATATTGTATCGCTTATATCTTGAATATCAGTTTTAGAGTGAATTTCTAAATCACCTTATTTGTGCAGAGTATCCTAAAAGAACCTAAAAACACTGACTGCAGCGATTGTTTTTATTTTGTTTAGAAATATTGTACAAATTTTGACACAGTTGTGGACTAATAAGGTGTCATGTTGAATATTATTTTGAAGCTCCTTTAGAGTATTTTACAACTCAAGTCTGTAAGGCTTCTGTCTTTCTAAATGGAGGACTAGTAAACAGTTACACTAGACAGTTTTTGTACATTTCAACATTTTTTTATCACATGCAATTTTTTATATTTTATTGCGTACACAAAAAAACCTTTCCTAAAGGAGAATGTTGATGTGGCATACCATGGGACTATGATGATCAGGTGATGTGATCGAGCGAATGCACCAAAAAGGCTTATTTTACAGTAAACTTCAAAATGATGTATCACATGATTTCCTGTTCAGTTGAAAAAACCTCGCTCCGCCACCTTAGAAATTTCAAATGTCGCTTTTACGCTAAAATGTATCTGTGCCCCAATTTCATCATCCTAAATTTTGAATTGCGATCATGAGCCGTTTAAAAAAAATATTGGGGGGAAACATTGACGAAAAGTAGTATTTGGGAACCTATGTTACAGTCTTATAGAATTATCAGCAAAAAAAATACAAAAACCAGAAAGATTATTATTTTCATATTTCACGTACTACAGTTCTTCCAGCATTTTTAATACAGTGTAAAGCTGAACACAGGCATTGTTTTTTGACAGGCTTGCCAACATGCTACCTGTGGTTGCCATTGCTAGAGATCTTAGTTCTAAATTATTCGAACTCGAATTTTGGCTGGTCACGTGCTAAAATTCAAAAGCACATGAGAGATATGCGACTAGTCAACTCTTTGTCATGGTCAATCCGACTAAAAATAGCGGATCGTAGTTGGAAGGCGGAAGGTCCGAATTTACAGAATCGCAACCATGCTTGGCGCATTGGTAAGACGGTACATAAAGCAGCGTCTGTGCCTAACTTTACACAGATTCAGTCCTGAATTCCAGTTTAGGTAAAGAAAATCACGTCAGTCTGTTTATTCATTCCTTTAAATCCTTGCTGCTCAATTTCAAAACTGACTAAATATAAAAACTGCAACTTTTCACATTTAGAGCACGAATATTTTTTTCAAGATCATTCCATCCTTTTCATTGGGAAGAGGCTCTTGCTATTTTTTTTTTCGTAACAACCAGTTCTCATAGTATGGAAAAATGTGCAGTCCTGATACACAATACAATCCATTGTGTATACCTGTATATTAATGTTTCATTTTTATCCTATTTATTATAATTATAATGAAAAAAAAACAAATATTTTTTTAGGAATATCCATTCCTCTGGTGTATTTACTTGAGTAGAGCTATGGCATATTGTTTTATTTGTCATAGTTAAAATTCTTAACTTGGTACAATATGTAAATACAAAGTGTGGTCAAAATTTTAAACAATGACATTTTGGCGTTAATGACTCATTATTCAAGGGATGAATTATTGAGCTTCTTTAGAAACGTCAAAATATTGCATATATTACCAGTTACATTTCAGTGATATAAAAAAGCCTTGTCTATATAACCAGTTTTGGGGTTTTAGTATTGTCAATAGTAATTGTGAGCACACAATATGTGGGTCTTATCAAAGTCTTTTTTTTAATAAGAGCCGCTAGGCATTTAGAGTAAATTGTTGTATATTTTCCCAATATCAATATTATTAACGAAAATTTTTGGTTAATTTTATCACACCTTATACATTAAAAGAGACACCTCTCTTTTCTCAATTAGTACTGTTACTTGAATGAGATCCACAAATGTAGCGGTATCCTCTTGAATGTTTACCATATGTCTAGTGAAAGCCTGCTATATTTTGACTAGTTATGTGAATTCAAACGTGTAATTATTTTGAAGGAATATCCATTTAAACATGGGGTTAAATAGATCACTATTGCGAAGACAGTACAATCCCAGTGAAAAAATAAACCAGTAACACTCAGAATTTATATTGACCACATGTTGTATGTCAAAAAGAAATTTTATTTTTATATTTCTAGACAATATCCCATTAGTTCAATGTGACATAATTTTTATCTTTTGTTTACAATGTGCTATTAATATCTTGCCAGGCGTTGTGAGATGTCAGAATTCCTATTCATAAGAAACTACTTTGAATCAACGAAATACCAGCTGAACAGCACAGTGAGCGGATAAGTTAGCTAATCCTATGAAATTTACGAACCTCATTTCTAAAATTTTTGATCATCTATAATGGCATAGCTCTGCTATATTTTCAAACTAATGGGATACATGTATATTTTATTTTGCGTATATTACGCATATCTGAAATCAGAATGTGCTTTTTATACAGGGAAATTCAAATTCAAGAGACAAGTACTTAAACTCCTGGAGGGTATTTGAAAAGTAGCTCAAAATAAAAAGTATATTATGATAACATTCAAATGGTCCCTGGTGGATTGCATTATCTACAAAGATGGTTAGAGGCTTTATTGGTCTTTCCTTTTTAGCACATCGAGCTTGTTTTTTGAAATTTGGAAATAACACGTTTTAGGACCGATTGCTTTCTGTCTCTAGTGATTAGTGAAAAACTAAAAATGCTGATTGAAAGTTCTTCAGTTAGCATAGGTGGTTTTAATTATTACAAGCTAGAGTGAATAGCCAATGGATCTGAGAGGCAACCACCGGATGTTTCAGTTTAATATTTGTGTCATCTGTAATTTTCTTATTGAATTTTTGCTTCTCAAATACTACTAACACATTTTTATAAAATTTTAGTGTATTCTTTTTTCATTTCATCAAAACCCTTTTTACAAATTTTGTCGATCTATTTTGTAGGTATCATTATGTAATTCTTAAATGAACATGGGAATTTTAGTTTCGCGGTAATTATTTACACAATTTCCAAAATAAAACCTCTAACGATGGTAGTATGAAATTTACAAAATGTTATCGTCGTTACCTTTTTTTGTATATATTTGTAGACAGTTTGATATTCTTTTTTCATCCAATTTTGGACTTGCTATTTCTGATTTATTGTACATTTTTGTACACCTCCTTGTGTCCCAGTTCAGCCGGTTTTATGTGTTATTTGTATATATTTAGTTAGTATTTTTTTTTGTAAGTACAAAAAAGCCCAAAAGAAAACATCATTTTTAAAAAAAATATAAAACACCGAATTTGTACAGAAAAATCATAAAATCAAAAATGTTTGTCAATATGTATATTGTATATAACGTAGCGCCTTAAAAATAAAAAAATGACGTAATAAAGAAAATATATTTTCTAACTTTAAGGCGCAAACAGTGTGTTTTATTTTACTGTTACTGTTTTTATTGTTTAATAAATGGGGCTTTGATACTTTTCCGCTCGTAGTAGTTGTGGGAGTGCGGGAGGGAAAGGGTGTCTAAAAAATGTATTTCCTCAAACTGATGGGAGCCTTTTCAGGTCGGTGACCCCCTCACCGCGGGTCTTGCAGATGCTTAGCTTAGAAAGTTTATTCGTCAAACGCTTCGAACGTAATGTCTGCACTTTACTATGGGCGATGATCGTTCATAATATGCACGATCATCGTGCAAGCATCCACACGAGCGTTCGTAGTAGTTTGTGATGGATCCTCTTCACAATCGGCGATAACAAACCATTACGCGCGAGCGCGATCGTGTAAATGGCATACTCTGCTATACTCGCCGATCATAGTAAGAGATCGCCTTCGACCCGTGAATTGTGGAGCCATAAGTAATTACGTCGGGTGGATTGAAGGATGTCAGTCTGGTGAAAATGATATCGTAACTGTGTCCTTTCAAGTGGGGCGAAAACCAGAGCGGTGGCGGTCACCAGGCGGACTACATGTTCGTAAACCACTGCGATTTTTCAGCGACAAATTTAGAATCTAAGAGTATTAAGAATTAAAGTATGCAATGAGTGCACAGGATGTAGAAGAAGAAGCTTTGGTTTTTAAATTATAGAGTGTTTATAAAGGTGCATATAAAATATATTGATTTTACTTCCGTCGCCTTTTGTAGTCGCGAGAAATTTACACATTTTTTATTCTTGATAACATGCATTTTTAAGGTACATGTGTTTTCGTAAGTATTTAAACCATAGTTTTCTAATGGAATTTAGAGCGGTTAGCTCCATAGTTTTGGAAGTTTGCTGTGCTATCTGGAATGGCATGCAGCCCTTATGCATGCCTGAACCACGCAAGGAAACGTGGGAAAAAACTGTTGCTTGTTTTCAAGAAAAATGGCAATGTGTAGGCAGCATCGATGGAAAACATTACCATTAAATATCCCAATAAAACTGGCTTCAATTTCTTTTTTTATTTGTAAAAGTTTTGTTTTGTCCTATTAGCTGTCGCCGAACATGATTACAAGTTTGTTTGCATCGATATTGGAGGGTATGGTAAAAACAGTGACCCTGGACCTTTTGATTTGAAGTGCAATGGGACAGAAGCTCAGTGAAAGAAGCTTCCATGTGCCCGAAGACAGACCTTTGCCAGGTCAGGTCGACTTGACGCCTTGTGTACTTGTAGGAGATGAGGGCTTTCCACATAAATAATTTTCAATTCGACCGAAATATTTAATAAAATGGCGTGTGCTTTTTAGACCAATCGAAGTAAAAATTTAATCGGCAATAAATATTGTATATTACACAATTAGTTACTTGCACATAAAAAAATGTGACCAGTTTTCAAATTTGTTAGAACATCAACAGCAGTCCGACCTTGGCGCCTTTGAACATTTTGCAAACGATGCCCGAAGATCAACAAACACAGCGTTTCATATACGTGAGAAATTTGTTTCATATTTTAGTAATTAAACGAGTGTTAAAAGATAGTTTTTTGTCTAAATAAAAATCTATAAAAGTAAAAACTGTAGCTACTTAGCCGTCGTTCCATCTATATATATATATATATATATATATATATATATATATATAAAGCAATTTCGTCCCATATTTTGTCTTTTTTTTAATATTCTTATAGCCAAAGTGAGACAAGTCATACAAGATGGAATGTTCTGGCACATTTTCGGTATCACACATGTTTGCTACTATTCCGTAGAAAGAATATCGCGCGAACTATGCGGGCAAATGATGCATGCAGCGTTTTACCGCAGGCCGCGGCAGAGAGCGGACGCGTTTTCCAGATCATCGTAGGTGTGCGCACTTCCATTTAGCTACATGCGCCTTATTTGCTCGCTATCGCCACCGCTCTGGTTTGCGCCCCACTTTAAACCTACTCGATGTTGTACGGTTGCCAACATATATCTGTCCAGGGGAAAAACAATCATTTCTTAAGTCGATGCGCACCAGAGAGTATGACCCTGGGTCTTATTGTGAGGGAAAATAACCTGTAGCCTTTTGAAAGAAATTGGCAAATCCGTCGGAATTGTAGGTATCCGCGGAATTTAAACAAGTTGTCCCTCTGCTGGCCCCGTGAGGATTGCGGCCACGATTATATTGCCGTCAACAGTTATCAGTAGCAGGTTCAACGCTATATTTATACGTGAATGGCAGATAAGGACGAAATTTCATATTAAAAACTAATGACCAAATATTGCTTAATCACGAATAGTGCATACAGCTTTCTACTGGTGAAATAATTTTCAAAATCGGTTCAGTAGTTCCGGCCAGATATTACTTCGTACATTTAACAAACTATACTAGTGTAGATGTGTGTTGGCTATCTATCGTCAGGTAGGATGCGTTAATCAAACCCTATGTGCAATCAAAGGAAGTTTTTTGAGAAACTCTGATACCACTCATCCGAACAAATTGGTATGATGTTGCCTAGCTATGAGCTTGTTTCATCTGTTTTCCTGTAAATGATTGTAGGAGACTATCATAAAAACTCGTTATTGGAATGTACCAACTATATTCTGGAAGGGAATTAGTGAAAAGTCATATACCTTATTTCACGAGTATCCATCACCTTTGACATCTACTGATCAGCAAGTGACATTTTTGTGTTAGTCTGCAATGTTGGCAATAATGAATCTGTTATAAATCCAGTAAAACTCGTTTGTGGCGTTTTGTTTTTTGTGTGCAAATGAACTTTTCTAAATAAAAGAGCGGTTAGCAAGTAGAAAATGAATCTATGTGATGGATACTGGTGAAGTAAGGTATAGTCAGTTTTTTTTTGACTACACTAATTTTTTAGGAGTGGATTATTGAAAAAAATCTGGGCACATCTTAATACACAGGCAAAAATAGTGAATGAAGTGGTAAATTAATTTCAACAGACTATTCTGTTAATTCATAGTGATCTCGACTACACCCATTCTACGTATGCCAAATTATCTTGACAAGTAAATGTCACAGATTATTTCTGTGAGTCCATCAGATGACAACTACATTCCATTGTACAGCAACAGCTCGAATAACATATAATATAATTGATAAGATCTTTATTTAAGCCGACTAACATTACTTAACATTAGATGTTCAATATCACATACATTTCACAGTTCTTTGTCAAATTTCTGCTGGAACTTCACTCTTTCTTTATCTTATTTTTCTTGATCTGGTAATCAGACAGAGCAGCTTTGATGGCATCTTCAGCAAGCATTGAACAGTGTAGTTTGACAGGTGGAAGTGACAATTCTTTTGCAATTTCTGTGTTTTTTAGCTTTAAAGCTTCATCTACTGTTTTTCCTTTGACCCATTCTGTAGTGTAGGAACTAGAGGCAATTGCAGAGCCACATCCAAAGGTTTTGAATCTTGCATCTATTATTTTTCCATTTTCATCCACTTTTACCTGTTAAAAAAATTGTTTATATTATTGACCAGAAAGAGTTCATTTATGCAGCAGGTCAGAAATTATTAATGTATCATGTTACATGGGAATCAACTGATAGTGATCAGTAAATGCCAATGGTCTGACATTTGCTAAAGGGGTCATTCCAGTGAACCAAAAAAAGCTAGCTTCCTGGTTGAAATTACGTTTCCACTGTCTAGTTTTTGGTCAACGAACTTCAGATATTTACCTGTAGCTTCATAACATCTCCACAAGCTGGTGCACCTACAAGTCCCGTTCCTACATTGTCATCATTTTTGTCCAGCGATCCGACATTTCTTGGGTTTTCATAGTGATCAATAACATTCTTGTGATACAAAGCTGATGGAGTTTGTGATACCCTCAATGTAGGTTGGCTCATAGTACGTAGTAGTTTCGATGTTATATTTAAAGCCATCTTATCTGATAACAGTACAAATTCTGGAATTGTATTTTCAAAGTTTTAGAATTTATATTTTGATTAAAATGTATATTCAAATAACTTACCCTTTGAATAACTGTGATCCCAATTTTGACAATAACAAAACGTGACATAACCCGTGATAACACTATAATTAGGAGGGTGAAACGTCAAATGGGCGAACTGCCAACACCAAGGTCATCCTCTCCAGGCAAAATCGAGGAAACTGCATTACCGACACCACGTGACTTGCAGTTTGCTGGTAATCTCTTTAGAGATGATCTTAGCAGCGACTTGCAAGTCGCCGGTAGATTTACCAGCGCTTTAGGTCACTGCTTATCTATAGTCGCTGCCAGCAGCCAGCGAGTCCCTGGCGCTGATTAAATTACTGGATATTTGGCGGCGGTTATCCATTGATATTAACGAGGTGTAGATGTGCAGGTTCCTGAAGATTTGAATTAAACTATATTTAAGGTTTTTGTTTTTAACAATATTGAGCACAAAACACATAAAATCATTAAAATATATATAATAATATATATCTATTTTTTCTTGTTAGTACAATAAGTTTGAAATAAAAATGTTTGGTTTTTCTTGCTAATATAATAAGTTTGAAATAAAAATGTTTGGTTAATTTACAATACCTGGAATTTTATTTAGGCGCCGCCAGGTTTTTTAGACTTACAAAATCAAACGCCGTGATCCAAATGGAGATTAACAATTCAATATAATGTCAGTCTAAATAGCCTGACGAGGCCTTGTATGATTCTGGTGCTGTCAGACATAAATGACTGACGCCGCCAAATAATGCCTAACAGTATGTCAGTCATAAACGAGTGACAGCACAAAATAAAACAAGAATAAAATAGTATGCCGGCAGTCAGAGTGTTAACTTTATCACTTACTGAAAAAAAATTCCAAATATCACTAATCTTTTGGCGCTTTGACATATTTATAAGGTGCTTGCAACTCACAACAATCACAATAAAAACTAACAAAATATTTCAGGCTACGCCGTAGCGACCCTGTAATTCCCGCGCGATGATCGCAATGTGTATATGCTTCCTGGCAGCGACCGCGACCGAAACAGCGTTACAGCTACCGATCAGTGGTTACCGATACCGATACTTCCAAACAGCGATCTGGGTCGCTGCTTCATGGAGAATCAGGTCGCCGGGACTAACGGCGACCATTCAAGTCGCCGGTACCGATATATCGATCATCTCTAATCTCTATCTTGTGTTTGTTTTGGTTAGTATCCGGACTATCAACGCTCATGCTTTCGGAGATATTTCGTTAAAAACGAGTATAACATATAAAGCAACACTATCAGTAGCTGTGATGGTATAAGTGATATTGTGACTATTGTGGGAGATAGTCACAATATCACTCGGAGACTCTTTATCATAAGTGATAAAGTGCTACACGTAGGCTGTGAACTTAAAAAATCAGCATGATTTAGTTGGTAGATTATTTAAAATTGCATGTCTGGAGTCAGCCTCTCTATAGTTATATAAATTCCCATTTTTTTAAATTTAATATGGCATGGTAATATCGGCAGAGCAGTCATAAAGCTTTAAGCTTTATAAAGCAAAATTCTGCCCATCTAGGCCAACAAATTAAAGGCATTGAACTAAGCGAACTAGTTAAAAGTGACTAGCTTGTTTACAATGAATTAATGTTTTCTGTATTGTTTCAGAATCACCAAGAAGCAATTTAATGAAGTGAGACACCTGTGTTTTGCAACACACAATATGAATTTGGAATAAATCTATCCATATTTTTATGTAATACAATTTTTATACCATTGTCAACAGCATATTATTTTTTGAAACTAAATTTATTTTGTGCTTCATAGTCAGTTTGGATTTTATTCTGAACCTTGTTCTCAGAAAAACTGCTGAAAGAGATATTACCCGTATTGATGGGGATATTTTATGAAGGTTCATGAAATATACCTCCAATATGGGAGGTATCATTTTCAGCAGATTTCATGAACAAACCAAATCCCCGACACATTACTTATCCCAGGCGCATTCTTTCCTCCCATCTCCAGTGCAAGTAAGCAGCGCAACCATCAGACAAACGTCAACAGTGCTGCCATTGTTTAACGTGCAGCTCCCACTTCTCCAGGCTTATGTGTTTTGTGACTATAATAAAAGTTGACAGAAAGGAATGATTTTAAGATTCCACTGCTGGTCAACTAGAAAAAGAGGCGTGGTTATACATCAAACATTCATCAAACCCCTTCTCTTATTTGCCGCGCCCTCTTTCCAGTCTAGCAAACCGAGCTGACGGAGTAGGAAGGCAGCAGTTCGAAATCGATATTTTTTCACGCAACTTGAGAGGTTTGAAAATATATTTTCCTTCTACAGGGAAAACCAAATTTGTCTGACGACTTGTATATGTACGGTGTGTAATCGAGAAAGATATACCAATATGCCACCTTGCCAATATGTTACATCAAGAAATGTTGGCTTCTACAATAGATTAGGTTAATGTCAAACCTGCCTGTTCGAACCTTTAATTTAATATTTTGTTTACATTTTGATTTGAATTATTTATTTATTCCAATTTTGATGCAACGTAGTGTTTCAAGTTCTTCTTCTTTTAGAGTTATCTTTGATTTCCACTCGAGTTATTGTTACATTAGGCGTATTCTTTAATTCATCGGTTGAGCCACCGGTGCAAGCAATTACCAATTTTTTTTTTTAATTTCCGTCTGAGCGACCGGTTATATAGTTTATAGACAAGTTTGGTATACAACCGGTCGCTCAGACGGAAATTTTGGTTGCACCGCTGAATTAAAAAATACTCCTATTTTGCGACAGCGTTGCGGTCGAAAAAGGTAACATAACGTTACGCAATACAAATTATCACGATCTGTGTGTACGCAGGTGAAAGCCATTTCGGAGCAGGACGACACACCCCTAAGAGCGCTAGACGTGTACTGATCAAAATCGCTTAACTATAATCATGGAGGTGGACACCTTGCCTTGGTGTTGTGAAATGAACCAATGATGCAATATGTTGCAGAATTTGTGGCGATCCTAACCAGATTCGACATAATTCAAAATTGTGTACGCTCAAAATAAAACCATTATTTGGGGTAAAGAATAAACAAATGCATATTTTCAATCTGCGTCTTAAAATTCAAGGAACCGGCGATCAGCTTCGCTAACCAGCCGGCTCCTATCTCTTTCTAACATATGTGCCTATACATACTTCTCTCTGGTACACATTCAACCCAAGCCGACAGGCAAATAAGATTTTCAGTGTATTTAGGCTGAATCAATGGAACAATCTCAATACAACCAAGAAGCGACATATGCAGAATTGAACCAATAAAATAAAAAAACTCGATTATAGAGGTTGCTCTACGCCTTAAGATAGAAAAAAGTCGATAGTTCACAAAAGCTTAAATGAAACACGATATATGTGTTTTAAAGCTTATAAAGCTTTATAGCACTTTTTTACCTTTTAATGTATTTTTATCTTAGCGAGAAAAGTAATATTTTTTGTATTTTCATTACACATACGCATACATACATACAATACTTTGACTTGTGAGATTTAACAATTAACTCCTTATTCATTTATAGTTTTACAGAACAAATTATACTAGAGGGAAACAAAATTTCTAAACAACTAATCTAGGAAATTATCATATTATAATGTCCATGGCAGTCATATGGGCAATAAACATTCTGATTCACGTTTTTACTTGCACACAGATTATTCTTCCACAGTACATTGCATATGCAGTGTTGCTAAGTCAGAAAATTAAAACACTAGTAATAAGGCAGGAACGCTTCTAGATCACTTTGTCCACCAGAACTAATCATAACAAAGTAGCGAATCCAGAGCCTACCTCTGCTATAAATAAATATCTTAAAAAGGAATCATTTAACTTTATATGAATGCATGACAGTTTTTCAGTTGAATGTAATTGTTGAGTTTATATTACTGTTCAATCATCAAGTGATTTTCGACATTATTATACCACAGCTGGGAGGGCATTTTACTGATTAACGTATTATACCTGAAGATAGCAAACCTAACGCTATATTCCGCGTCCAAAAAATTAAACGAGATAGATAAACGAACAACTGCTGGGAAACAACCAGAAAGATGAGGTCGTTCAAGAAAAACAACTACACATATGGATAGAAGGATTGCTCGTGAAGCTGTTAGAGATCCATTTTCTAATTTGATCGTTATAAAAGGTCAGTTGGGCTTACATATCAGCACTAGGACGATAAGAAGACGTTTGCAAGAAATGAATTTTCATGGCAGAGTTGCTAGAAGAGTTACCCTTTCATCTAAAAAGCATATACTGCAACGAATAGAGTTTGCAAGGAAAAATCTAAACGACACCTGCAGTCGCAATTCGAAAAATATAACTTTTTTTCGATGAAACAAAAATAAATTTGTTTTGATCTGATGGTCCAAATAGGGAACTGGATCCGCGCTAGACAACGGTTAAGCATGGCGGAAGAAACATCGAAACATGATTTTCATATTCCCGCGTTGGACCCATTTTTTGGATAAAAGAAAATATGACCACGGAAATTTATTTATAAATCATGGAGAATGTTATGCTTCCTTATGCTGAGGAAAATACGCCACTACGTTGGATCTACCAACAGGATAATGATTCAAGCATACAGCAAAGGTAGTAAAACAAAAACAGTGGTCCCAGCAGTGGCGGCTAGTGCATAAGTGCTGCAGTGCTGCAGAGCTCCCAAAAAAAATAACTCTGAGGATAATAAATTTAAAAAATAAATAAATAATTACGTAATCTACCTAACTAACATATTTTCTAATACCTACCAAAAAGCAAATAATGTGATATTGTTCATTCGCCCTCGTAATAATGATATGGCTAAATTCAGATATTACATCTGAGATGTTGTAGATGCTTTCTATCTATCTCTGTCATACTATATTATATTTTGCTGTATCTATGCCAGCGCCCAGCGAACCGTGAACCGTGTGAATGTCAACAGTCGATCAGTGGAATAACCTACCGACTCACGCTATCCCTGAATTATTACTTATCTGGGCCACATGACCGAGCTCTGAGAGCCCGTCCGCAAGCTCCCGCTGCACTCCGCTTCCCCCTTACCCTCGAAAACAAAGCCGTGATTTAACCTGGAGAATTCGCTGCAGTCTGTACAGCGAAGCGCGGCATAAACGTTATTGTAATAGTATAGTCAATATTCAATATAGTATCGAGTTTTTACGCGACTTTCTAGTTTACAGTGGGTTGGACATTGGATTAAAAAACATTAATAATAGAGTGCCAGTGCCTGTGGTTTTTTTTGTGTATTTTTGACAATAATTATTATTAAGTACAATGGAAGTGGTCTTCAATTATTAATTAATGTGAAGAAATTTTTTAAATATTCATATGAAGAAAAGATTGAATTGAAAGCAAAAGGTAGACCATTACCAGATATTATTATTGAGAGAGCTGGTGTAAGTAGAGGAAAAAGTTATATACGAAAATTTAATAGAGACATTTATTCAAAAAATGAATGGATTTGTGGATGTAACAAAAAAAATGCTTTATACTGTTTTCCCTGCTTACTTTTTGGAGGCGATAAAGCTTGGACAGAAATAGGGGTCACGGATCTAGAGCACTTGAGTTTGAAGATAAAAAGACACGAAAACTCTAAAAGTCATCTTCATAATTGTATGGAATTTGCGTTATTAGGGTCAACTAATATTATTTCTCAATTAGATTCTGCTTACTGGATAAATGTGCAGAGACATAATGAAAATGTTTCAAAGAATAGATATATTTTGTCAAAAATTATAAATTGTATTAAGTTTTGTGGAGCTTTTGAATTGGCCCTTCGGGGACATGATGAGGGCGATACTTCCGAGAATCCGGGGATATTCCGTGGACTTATAAATTTTTCAGCAGAATTAGATGCAACTCTAAACGAGCACCTAAAAAATGCTTCGATATTTAAAGGTACCTCCAAGGAAATACAGAACGATTTGTTACAGTGTATGCTTGAAGTCTGTCGTGAACAAATAATTGAGGAAATTAATAATTCTTCATTTCTGGCGATCATGGCGGACGAAACAACGGATGTTGCCGCAAAATATCAATTGGTACTAATTTTTAGATATATTCGCGATGGTGAGTCAATTGAACAGTTTTGGAGCTACTTAATTCCTGAAAGATGTGATGCAGAAACACTTAGTAAAACTATATTAACTGTTATAGATCCTTTAATTCAGAATTCACCTAACAAACTGATTGCACAAAGTTACGATGGAGCAGCGGTGATGAGCGGTCAAACTGCAGGCGTCCAAGCATTAATAAAAAAAAAGTATCCTTTTTCTCACTATGTACACTGTTATGCCCATCAGTTGAATTTAATTATGTCTAAAGCTGCTTCTGCAAATTCGCAAGTACGTGTATTTTTTGGAAATTTACAAGACATTCCTGGATTTTTTAATAATTCACCCCAACGAGTAGAAATATTGAACAAGATTGTGAACAGAAGTATCCCCCACGACGCTTCAACCAGATGGAATTTTAATATACGCACCATTAATGTTGTGTATGAAAATAGAACCTCTCTCATTGAGTGTATGCATGATGCAGCCGCCTCTATTCGGCGTACATTAAATGATCCAATCTTCAATTTTTGGCTGACTTTTTTTCATCATGTGATGCCTCACGTAGATATCCTATTTAATCAATTGCAACAAAGAAAAATCGAACCCACTCTAGTAAGACATGCTATTGATAATTTTGAAAGGAGTATGATTCAAGTTCGAAATAATATTGATAACATTAGTGAAGCATCAGATATAATAAGCGATGAGCCTCCAGAAAATAAACGCAAACGTCCATCTAACAGCAAATTTGATCACCGAATTTCAGCTTTAGAGGTGTGTGATATTATTATAAATTGTGCAAAAGATCGATTTCAGTTTAAAGAGCATTTAGTAGTTGCATCACATTTCTTTTCGGACTACTTTGGAGAGTATTGCGGTAAATTTCCCGAGGATAAACTTACTTCCGTATGTTCCTTTTATCCCACACTTGATAAATAACGATTACGAACCGAACTGTCTGTTATTTATTCAAGAAATGATTGCAGGACATTAAATGGCGCATTACCTCTTCTAAAATTTTTAATAACAAACAATCTCGGAGATACGTTGAAGGAGACTAAAAAACTATTAGAAATTGTGGTAACAACTCCCATGACGACATCAGAGGCTGAACGATGTTTTTCAACCCTAAATCGGATCAAGACCTTTATCAGAAATTCAATGATTGAAGATCGTCTAACAGCTCTCTCCATGCTATCCATTGAGAAAAAGTTTATCTCTAAAATAGACAATTTTAATGAAAAAGTGATTACGAAATTTGCAAGCAGAAAAGAGCGTAGGATAGACTTAATTTACAAAAAATAGGTAAGCTTTTTCTTATTTTGTTTTTTTTTACAACAATTGCAGAACACCTTAAAATTTTTACCACGAGCCGCCACTGGGTCCCAGTAGAAGAAAATTGAAGTTTTGCTGTGGCCTCCACAGTCTCCCGACTTGAATCCGATAGAGAATCTTTGGAAGGGATTGAAGCATCGAATATCACACAAAAAGACAACAAGCCAAAAGTTACTTTGGGAAGACATTAAAAAAACATGGTATTCAATACCTCCGGGAACCTGCCACAAACTTATCGACTCAATGCCAAGCAGATGTGGTGCTGTCCTGAAGAACAACGCTTACACTATCAAGTACTTAAAATACTCGTTAAATAGAAATAAAAATATGTTAATTAAATGCAGTGTGTTTTATCTATTGTTTAAATTTACTCTTATTTTATTGACCACTTGCATTTTCACAAAATCTGAATTGTTAACTTTTATTTTTCAAGTCTTTATTAATATTATAATGTTCATTGTATTTTAAAAGAGAAAACAATATTCTTAATTTGTATAAGATTATAGATCGCTTAAGTGGCACATATACATATATATGATGTTTAATTATATTATTGGTTTTCAAAATTTACACTTATTTTTTGATCACCACTGTATATAATAAACAGAGAAACACCTGTGACAAATTTTCATACATGACGCTACAATATCTAAATTCATCTAGGATATTTTTTGGATGCGGGAATATAGCATTAGGTATGCTATTTTCAGGAACAATAGGTTTTTAAATGGTACTTCTCACGTCTTTAAGAAATTTACGCAATCCCAAACGAACCATATGTACGAAAGGAATATGTAGTATAGCAAAACTGTCAGGTAAAATGTGTAGCTTTGTGTGATCTTTTTGGACCCAAATCTCGAATCGAGAAAAATGTTTCCCTTAGGAAAGCAGTCCAAAGATGATTTTCTATGGGAGTGTCACATTCTCATGACAAAATGTTAACACGATTCAAAAAATGGGTCCCAGAAACACCAATTGTATCGATTCGCAAATATAGTGATTCGTGTGAATGCGAAAGTTTTAAAATATACTCCCTAATGGAATTTCAAGTCTCTTATGTTTGGAGAAGAAGAAAATTTTAATAACTGATCTGGCAACACTGTGCGAAGATAGTCATGGCATATCCAGAGATTTCTTAAGAGGTGATCACTGCCGGGCAAGTGACTGCAGTGGAATTTGGGTGCGGTTGCCAGTACCTGTTCGTTAGTATGAGGTAGGTGGCTGACAGCCTCTGTCACGCACTTTCAGTTTCCTTCTCGTGGGGTCTTCCGTCACCATACACGCTTACTGAGGCTAAATAATTGTTCGGCATCACCTAAAAAAAATATGTATATAAATACCTAGATATGATTTTGCTGCATAATACGGATAGATCAGTCAAAGATGGAACTAGTCCAAGCACAACAGACACCTGCATTATCTAAAAATAATCCCAAGATAGCGATCTGATCGACATAATTCGTACCAGGTACTAGCTAGTCCGATAGCCCACGCCTACTCGTGGTGAACACAGACTATGGAAGAGGGGATACGACAGTCTATAGTATGGGCACAGCTTAGATCAGGGCTGTCGAACATACGGCCCGCGACTTTTCTTGCGGCCCGCTTCACGGGTCATGTATACATCACTTGTATAAATTACTCTCAAATACCGAATATGCACAATTCTTACATTAACGATAAAATACAATAACATGTGACGCCACTAGCGACCGATAGCAGGCCGCAGCGAATTTACTGGAAATTGGACCGATCTCTCGATCATCCCCGAATATTCGAGAAGCTACGGGCGCGTATATAAGAAGGTTGAATCAAGCGGGACAGGCAGTTTTGTTCTAGTGCTAGTGCGTTGCAGTACACAGCAACTCTAAAGCCTTTTTAAGTGAAATCCTCCGTGAAATATGTCTTCACAGAAACGAAAAATAACGAAGGAACTTCGAGATTATAATGACCGTTGGGAATCAGAATATTTAATCTCAAACAATAATAATAAACTTCACTGCATTGTTTGTATGCAAGGCAGGCTATCATAACGGAATAAAATTTGACTCTGATAACAAGTGCAGTATTGCCGCCTCTTACAAAATAGCGCTGGAAATTGCCAAAGCAAAAAAACCTTTTAGTGATGGAGTGCTTATCAAAAAGTGTGCAATAGAAATGGCGAAACAATTCATGAATTAAAAGCAGACCTTGCATTTTTAACAGACATGACATCTCACCTTAACGAACTGAATTTGAAGCTACAAGGAAAACAGCAGAATATTGCCAACTTATTTGGACACATAAATGGGTTTAAGAATAAAATTAAGCTTTTCAAGTCTTCATTACAAAAAAATGATTTTTCATTTTTTCCAAGTTGTAAAGAACATTTCGAAGAAACTAAGGATTTTGAGGAAGTTTCATATTTACCTCATATAAAATACATTGACACAATTGCAGAAGAATTCAAAAATCGATTTAGTGACTTTAAAAAAATCGAAAGCGACATTTCAGTTTTTACTCAGCCACTAACAATTTCTGTTGAGAACGTAAGCAGAGCAGACCTTCAACTGGAATTGTGTGATTTGCAATCAGATCCTTTTTACCAAGGAAGAACTGAAACTGGCTTGGACTTTTTTAAGTTACTGCCAGGAGAACGATACCCCAACTTGCGAAACTTAGGACTTACAATGGGATCAATGATGGGAAGCACGTATCTTTGCGAAAGCAGCTTTGCCAACATGAAATTTATCAAGTCAAAGTATAGATGTTCCCTCTCTGATAAGTCACTTACTCAGTTACTTCGTTTATCAACAACAAATATTAATGTTAATATTGATGCATTAGTATTAGAATCATCCTCAAATGTCCCACTGATTTTTTTGTAACTTCATAATTTTGAGTAAATAAAAATAATAGAAAAACTATTTTTGTATACCATATAGTATAGTATATATCAATTAAAACTCAGTAATAATGTTGTATAGAAAGATTTTATAATGCGGCCCTCCAAACTACCTTTTTTTTAAAGTGGCCCTTGGGCCACATTAAGTTGGACAGCCCTGGCTTAGATAACAATCAGCTGTGAAGCTCTCCCGTCAGTGTCAAAACTGGCCGCAATTTCGCCGGAGAAAGTCGAATATAAATTCCCCCAGCCGGGACACATCGAAATCATTATAAGTTTGCAAAGAATATATTCGAGCGCTGGCATGACACGAGGCAACACCGGCTGCTGCTGAGCACTAAAACCTCTTCCATCATTGTACTGGGGGAATTTACATTCGACTTTCTCCGCCGAGACGGCGGTTTTTGATACTGACAGGAGAGTTTCGTAGCTGATTGTTATCTAAGCTGTGCTATGGGCACACATATTTTTCCTTAGAAAATACTAAGATTGCATGTTTCTGTTGCTCTGTCTTTATGAATTACCCTGTAGGGGTATATTTTCCAAGAAGGGAGACTATAGTTATCCACAAATTTTGTAAATAACTTTTTTGATTATCTTTTATAGTAGTGGAGATAACGAATGAATTACATACTAAAAACTCACCCTGCATGTCTAATGTGTTGAAAAAGTTACCTAGCTACGCTAGCTTGATCATTTTTGACGATTTGTTTCTAATTTTAATAACCACAAGGCTTACATTTGACTACTATTTCATATTTATAGATTCCACTCCACATATTTTCTTCTTGCTGTGTTTGGAGTTACACAACAATGACCGGATGATTAGAATTTGTAAAATGAGTTTTGCTGGACTTACAAACTTTGTACATAAAATTTACGGTATACATAGCAAAAATTCATCTTATATCTGTCTCAATCTTGCTTCAAAGTATTGCAAATGCTAATTTATCACTTAATAAAGCATCTCGCACAATATTTGCATTAAGGTTAAAAAAAATCCTAGTAGTTTTCCATGTCGAGATAAATTCTCAGATTATCGTATCACCTCTGTATGAATGGATACGACATTGCAGTCCAAACAGAAAGTAAAATATCAAGCGTAGTAATATAGATATGATTTGTGGAACTTCCACCAATTTTTTTAAGCTGCCCCCTTCTGTTTTGAGCTAGGTACGCCCTTGCCTCTACATAAAATAACAGTTTACCTCGAACACAATATCCTGATACCCGTAGCACAGCGTACTCCCGAACGGATTTGTGGTGTTGCTAGAATGGGCCCTATTCAGCACTACCGGCCTATCGCTGGGTGTTAGTTGCTTGCACACGTCGTCCCAACAACTGTATGCCGTCACGGTAGCGCCCTGAGCCAAAGTGAGTTCTAGTTCGCATCGGGCGTACATGTTGAAGTTGTAGTGACCAGGGTAGTTCGTGTGGAGAACGAATTTCTTGGCTAAGTGGGTAGTAGCGTCGAACAAAACATCCTAAAATGAAAAACTTAATCTGACAATATTGAATAATGATAATATATATATGAAAATATACCAATACACATGAAATACCCAAAAACTATGAACTTGTGTATGGGCTTGAGATATAGTAAATCAACCTTGAAATATTATATAATAGAAAATATTTTATCTGTTGTTCAAATGTATAAATTCACATATCTTCAGTGATAAATAACTGCTGTCTTGATTCGGGTCTAAAAGCCGTCGTCGGTTGGAATGTCTTCCTAACGTTTGGCTAGCACGAGTGGCAAGCTTCTTCAGAGGTCCTTCCATTTCCGATGCTGGATGTAGTCTACAACAAACGTTAGGAAGAAATTCCAACCGACGACGGCCTTTAGACCCGAATCAAGACAGCAGTTTATCAACTGGCCGCAAAAGCCTTAACCAATTTGATAAATAACTGTTTAAAATATGGTGAATTTCCAAGAAAATTGAAGAGTTCCATGATAAACTCCTGTTTCAAAAGTTAAGAATTCCGAGCTGTACTCCAATATGAGGCCAATAAATGTTCTGCCAGATTCTGAAAAAGTATTTGGATGAATTATTTACGAAAGAACATCAAATTCATCGAGGGAAATAGAATTTTAACCAAATTTTAAGCCGGAATTAGGAAAAAACACTCAACTGGAACGGCAATGCAAATGGTTTGAGAGGACTGGAGGCGATGTATGGACAATAGGAAACATATAGTGACATACTAACAGTGTTTCTGGACATCAAAAGGGTGTACAAAATTGCACCATAGTGGATTTTAAGGACCCAAAGATTTCCCTTTCCAACTCCAAATAGGGCTTTTCAAAACTCTTACGGATTGTTCGATCATTATGTTTGAAATTAGCGTCCCAAATTGCTGCGATGTATCTGTGATTAAAATTGGCATGTAACAATGGAGGACAAAAATTAAACTTTTGAAACGAGACACTTCAAAATCAACTCTTACCATTCCCAATGAGAAGTAGTTGAAGAAATAGTCGCTCCTATTGGCAGATATCTTGCGATTTGCGTTCGGGCTGTGTATCCGCATCTTGTCCTCGCTTTTGTAGAACACTTTGGAAGGCGCGCCGAGCGCTGTAGAGATATCTTGTGTCGAATGGCCCAACAACACTTGACGTTTGAATTCGAGCTTCACAGCATCGATCAAACGGTGACTAGTAGCTGAAATCGAGACGGTATATGTATTGCTTAAGATTAAAATTTCAGAACATAAAGAATTTCAATCAAAAACACACAAAAACAATCAAAAAATCGAATTAAGACGTCACTGTTCGGAAAGACGCTTTTTCGCGTATATCAAAAAAACAAAAAGTAATGGTATAAATCAAAAATAAATATTAAAATTAGGCCCTATATCGGGTCAAATTCTACTGTCACCATTGATTGCTATTTCAGAAACGGTAAAAGATACGATGTCGGGACAAAGTTGTGCATTTATTTATTTACGAGGATAAACCAAAGACACCAAATTTTTCCGATAACGTATAACGTATCCATTCTCTTGTGGCTTTGAGATAGGATTTCAAAATAAAAAGTAAATCACCATTGTCACTTTTTCTCTTGTACGGGGTAGCATAATCAGAATTTCCATTTGACGTTTCGTCTTTTGTCCTTAACTTGATTTTTACTTGTGGACGCCATATTGCATTTTTGCACAGGTGAATACAGTTTTTCATGCTGATTCCTACACTGACATTGTCAAACATAAATTACTTCAAAAAATGGCGTCAAGTAGGTTGATTATGCCTTTCCACGCAACGCCGTTATCAGTTAGTAAGGAAGGAAGAACAAACTAGTCCCTCTGGGAAAAAAATCAGTCAAACAGGTCCATACAATTAGTCCATAAGCATTAATCTTGCCCTGCAATACCGGTAGTGCATCTGGAAACGTCGCCTCTCCCCAATACATAAGCCGGTCAGACGTGGCAACGCCGTCAGAGCATAGGAAATACTATGCAGTGGCGCGGCAGAAATGCGTCCAATACCATATCAAAACAAGAGAACACTGATCAAGGCCGGCGGCATGCCGCCTGGAGCGGCAGCCCCCTAGGCTGATGTATGAAGAAATCTGTGATGTAAAATATGTCTAATAGATGCGTAGAACTGCCAAGGTTACGAGGTCAAAAAAATTGATATAAACCCTCCCCACGTACCTGCAACCCCCATCCCCGAGTTTTTTACCTCTAATAAAAAAATTATCAGGATCGTCTGGAACGTGAAAAAACGAAGTTTGATCGGTTTTTATCCCATTTTATGGTATTTCATGAGAATATATGTACATATATATATATACAGGGTGACTTTGAAGTTGATTCATTAATTTTCAGATAATGATTGTAGAAGGAAGATAAACCAAAATATGTGTGTAAAAATAAAAAAAAATTAAAAAAAATTTTTTACCTTGTTTTATAAAGTATCCTCCCGACAAGTATTTCAGTTCGGACCTGTATTTGATCGTGAGGTCTTGGAGCACCGGCATGCCGTCCATATGTGAGGTCTTAAGTCAAATGATTCACGAACCCGTTGTACTACATTGACAAAGGCACGAGGGGTTGGTTGCACTCGATTGGGAAACCGATCCGCATAAACATGTGCCATTTTTTATTTCGTTTGAGCCACGCAACAGACACCACTATCCACTACCGACTGACACTGACTGTATACAACTGAATGAAATAATTGTAAAAACATCGTTCCAAATTCTTTCGCTTTTTTATTATTGAGACAGGGCGGTACTCAAACTTCCAAAGGGCTATAACTTTGTTACTTTAACTTTACCAGAAAAATGGTAAAGGAAAAAAACATTTCTTTTGATCAGATCTACTCACTGTTATAATAAATGACTCAACTTCGAAGTCACCCTTTATATATATATATATATATATTCTACATTATATATACCATATAACATCCAAAAAACAAAATATCTCATTGTCGGAAATTTACGCGATTACAATACTTCCCCGCCAGCAGGCATGGGGAGAAAATACTAATATATTCATAGTTTACTTTGTTTATCGCATATGATTAAATCACCAATGCTTCAGTTTTTGAGAAGCCGGTTCAAAGGACATGCGTAAGCCCATTTAACGACTATAAAAAGCGTTATTTTAGCAAACATTTTAACCCCACCAAAATGAACGTTTCTATAAGAAAAATTACCGATTTGAAAGACGGACCTGTGGAAATTTTGTATGTAGGAATAATGAAAACATCTCTAAATTGAAAATAGAAGTGGAAAGAAACGTTGTACAAAATTATGGACATAAAACAAAGGAACAACAGTATTAGTTCTAATTCAATATGACATATGGTGATGATTAGAAAAACATAAGAAGATTTCCAGTTACAAAATCGCAACTGTAATATAACGAGCAAATCAATATTTCCGAAGCCGTTACTTGAATTTAATAAACCAAACGATGGAATAAATAAAGTCTGCCTGTAAACTAAAGATGTTTAAACGAAAGTTAAAGGAACATTTTTCATGGAAGGTAAATATATGCAAGTTTTGATTTTATAAATACTTGTATGTTATGTAATTGTTGTAAGTTTTAAAAGACTGTAATTGTAGCAATCATGCTAAACAAATCAACAAAAAAATTCTATACTGCCCTTGAATGATATGGAAAACATTTAGCCCTTTACTCGATGAGTCAAGACCAACTGTAGGAAGATTACTTGTTCAGACATTTGAAGTTTTATAAACTGCACACTGTCCCAGCACTGCAATAATAAAAGTCCAGCGAGGTTCATCATTCTGATGATATTACAAAACAAATGAGTATCAGATAAAATTTTCGGGCCATGCTTCATATTTTACTTTTTGAAATTACTCAGGTTGGGAACATCAATATTTGAGATATACATTTTTGGAATCAGACATAACTATTTACTTATCTAAAAGTCCAATATAGCGTCTATAAGAAAAAATAAAGTTGATGATTAAGAACAAGAGGCGAAACATCATATTGAAATTTTAAAAATTAGAATCAATCCAACTTGAAGAGGAGAAATAGTTGCAATGTTATTGTACTTTTTATTTTGAAACCCCATCTCAAATAGAGTTAGGAAAGATTTCGGGAAAAATCAGTTTCTTTTGTCTATCTCCTGAAATACTCGGAATGGCGGAACTTTCTAAGTGCCATTTTCAAAGTCACCCAAATACGCAGCTTTGTCCCCATTTAACCATCTTCGTATCTCTTACCGTTTCCGGGATCGCAATGGTGAGAGTCGCATTTGAAACCCCCGATATATTCAGTTTAGTGCAGCAGTTACGTTGCTCCTCGAAAAGCATCGAATTTTTTACAATATTAGAAACGTTCAGAAATTTGCATCGATTTTTTTGGATGCACTTTCCGGTAAAAAGAAAAGATTAAAAAATGTATGCCAAAATGCCTTGTTGCAGCAACAGATTCAAGACAGGACGCAGAAAGACAGGCACAAATTTGCGCAAAATTTTATATTTGTATTCAATTCATTGAAATTCAAATACTGGATATCAGTCAGTAAGATGAATCAAATTACTAAGTAAAAGACTCTTCAAGCTAGCGATTGCAAATCCCAGTCAATAAAAAACAAACAAACAATACTGCAAATGTCAAACATATTACCTGCTAATTTAATGCCACCTGAATAAAAAAATATGAAACTTTCAATCAAAACATATTAATAAAAATAAAACTTGAAATGTATATTATTGAGGAATGCGTAATCATTCTCCTTAAAACTTTATTGTTCGGATGCCTTATCCGCTATCTTACTTAGGACTTAGGAGTCACAGGAGAATTACCAACTATCAAAGAAGGCGGCCGTTTTCTTAATCGACCCCCATATTGTCATGGCTGCCAATTGAAACCTCAGAAGTAGGACTAAAAGATTTACTCTTCTGCCAGCTCAGTGGACTCTTTCAAATTCATAAATGATATTTTAAGTCATTTGATTCTATGCATGTAGTTTTATTTGGCGGCTAGTGGAACATGGAGATTGGTCAGGGAGATATCACATGATAAATTTATAGGAGTTAGATTGGCATCTATCTATAGACTATTTCAAAATAAGAGAGAGAGAGAGAGAGCAAAAAATCATCAAATTAGACAAAGTACTGCAGTAACTCATAAGCGTATAATTTCTTTATTGAATTTTAGATCATAATTTTTATATTTGTATGTCCACCAACTTACAATATCAAAAATATTATACCTGCTATAGTTTTTACAAACTGTGTACGTAGCTCTACAAATACCTAGGATGAACAACAGACAAAATAAAAAATACATGCCGGAAACTACCTACATGATTATGGTTTTGAGAAAAATTGATAATTTCAATCATTCATATGGGTAGAGAGCAGGTATGATTATGGTTTTGAGACAAATTGATAATTTCAATCATTCATATGGGTAGAGAGCAGGTGTATACCCTAATGATTTAGGTAGACAGACCTGTATACCCATTCAAATATGACTAGGTACCCTACCAGAAGTATTGATAATACTATTGAGAAATGTTCAAATATGATTCAAAAATCTATCCGTGCCAAGCTCAAGTAAAATCATCTCAACCATCATCCGGATCTTGTTCTGGATCAAAATGGACCAATGAGACGTCTGTGTAGTAATGGATCAAATGAATATAGCCGATTTCTTTTAAAATATGTTAAACTACGGAAAAAAAGATATGAGTTGTGTAACAAGGGCATCTAATCCCTATATTAAATCAAGAAAAAAATGGGTAGGCGCTCGCATTCTTGAAAAACGCAGTGAAATGACGAAGCCAGAAAATTAGCGACTTCACTTAACTTTTAACTATCAAAGTGAATGAGCCGTTCTCACAGTAAGTCCTCAAGTGAACAACTATGAATTTGGTTTTTAAGAATGCCCTATATCATAACATGAGGGCATGAATGTAGTGCCTAAATTTACTACTTACCACAAACAAGGTGCACTTCAAGCCCTTTGGTATATCCATCGCCACGCAATACTTCCGCCTTCTGCAGATACATCTGGCCATGATAACAGATCAAGGGCATTTCTGGAGCATAGGCCTGATCCACATTAGAACCACAGAAAATGGCGATGCGGGAAACTAAGGGTGAATTGCCTGGTGAAAATTTCAAGGAGCCCAGGTTAGGTGAGCTTCCTGAAAATAAAAAAAATCAATAATTGCCTTATATCGGCTAAAGTCAAAACATGAACATCACATGAGTATGATTGTGAATAGCCCAACTAGCTATAATTCGAATACTGTGATTAAACGTATTGCGCCATTTTCATGCTGTTCAAAAAGCTGTCTCCTAGTCCCACTGAAGGTTTTCAAAACATATGGTGACAATGATTCGGTAAAACGTCATATTCAATATAGAGTAAAAAATTGTTGATGTACTTACCCGTTTGGTACTTAGAATCCACAGGGAAGTAAAATGATATACCTCTGAAATTCAGCATGAACAGCTGTTTCTCAGAATCATATACACCAGGGTGTGTGGCACCAAAGGAATGCTCTATTTGCTCAAGAGATGGCAGCACTTCAGGGGAGTTGAATGGTAATCCACTGGAAAAAATAACTATAAGTAAGCAGATTCTAAAACGAGATAACTGAATGACAGACAGAAGGCATGTATTTCAGTCCAAAAGCATTTTAAAAGTCAATAAAGGTGTAGAAAAAAAGTAGTTTGTTGCTTAGTTATTTGTGTTTAAATAATATTCCATCAGCAATCAAACAGTTTGTTTCATATAATTTACGTATATGAATAAATGTGACTATCACAAAATTTTAGAGGCCATAAAACCATACTTTAATAAATATTTGGTTCCTTCTAACAATGACTTTCTGGCAGTACCAAACGGTCATTTACAGTAGAACACATCAATTCAACCCTTAGCTAGGCAACATGATTAATTTGAATTAATCACTATACAAGGTGTCCTGAAAGCTGGGAGTTTCCTGTCCAAAAACAACTACGCCTAAGGTCAATTTGCAGTAAAACAGCATCAAAAACGTGATGATTCCGGTTTAGTACAGCATTTCAAACACTACCTTGTGACATGTTTTGTTTATAATGATTGCTACAGGCTGTCACTGTTTTATTCAAAAACACGAGTCTGTTTACTTCTTCCTAAATTTGCAACATTTGAGGGTGTCTATGACTTCTGCTGTGACCAGACAGATGGCTGAGTATCAATAGGATCTTGAAGAGACTCATATAGTAAACTAATGTCAAAACAATAACTACATTAATGCTGTAGAAATGTACCAATTTCGGTTTGTTCATGAAGTAGGTTAACCTAAACAGTGTGCAGTGCCTTCTTAGGATAATAACTTACATAGACATAATAACACAAAATATCATACATTTTGGCTTCCCAACTTTGAGGACACCCAGCATTTGACAGTCTCTGATAGTATAAGATATTATATGTTCAAAAGAACTGATTGGGTACTTACCAGTACAACAGTTTCACCAACTTCATAGCGTAGATTTCAATGATTTTAAGTCGCTGACTTACAGGATCAAAGAATAACCTTATGCCATCTTGAGGTAAGTTTATGACTAAGTCTACTTCTAAGGGTTTCTGAAAATAACACATATTGCTCATGAAATCATTAGCTCCATTGACAAATGTTTACTATACAAACAATACAGATTTGTTCTTTTTGCCATAAAATCATTGTTGGCTGAGATGGTGCCACAACATAGATTTTGGTGGTGGTGCCAGTATACCATTTTGATATTGGTATTCTAATTGTATTTTAGCGCATTTACTTTAAAGTGTACAGTATCAGAATAAATAACAAAAACATGATTTAGTCTTACCTTATCATTATAGAAAACCTGAACACCTTTAATAATTCCTACTTGAGATTGGATGATGGCAACAGCATGTGAAAAATGCATTCCTGTAAGTGAATGATCAATCATCAATTTCCAAATATGAAACTACACAATTAGGAGGTTTCCTACAGTTGAAATTACTGCTAGTTTCACTTGAATTTAATAGTATAACTGGTATGTTTTACAAATCTGAAAGAATTATTCTGATAACTTATTTAAAAAATATATGACATTTTCTATGTTGGGAGCTGTAGCCGACCGCGCACGCGCGTCCAGGTTGGGTCGTGACGTCACATGACATAAGTTCGGCTTCTAGGCCACGGCACTGACGCGACGGCACTTAGCGCTCAAGCTGATCAATCGCAGTGTACTTTGATTGTATCTTGGCATAGACTGCTGTGCGATATTATAGATATACAATAAATATAATGGAAGAAAGTTTTTTGCGTACCGACTCCATTAATATTCTAAAAGTAGACATAATATTGATTGATAATTCAATATACTACGCGAAACATTCATGCTTTGGCACGTATTAACATGTATACTCGCGATCGACGTCACAGTGATTCAAAAGTCCTGACCAAAATTAGAATCAGATAGCTTCGCTAGATTTTATAAAAAAAAATATTTTTACGTTTTACAGATCGCTGATAACGAATATTATATCCATATGTCAAAGATTAAACTGGTGGACTTGACATCATATAATGTTTGCAAAAAATGTTTTGATTGAGCTAAAATTTAAGTTGTAGCTGTTTTCAGGGTTGCTAATGTTGAACTAGATGTTGATTTGTTCAGAAATCGAAATAGAGGTTGTTATAAGTTTGCAAAAAATGTTTTGATCGCGTTGAACATTAAGTTTTAAGTGTTTTTAAGATCACTATAATAAATTAAATATCGATTCTTAAAAAAAATAAATGACAGATCCGGTATGATGGCTATGTTTACAATGCATTTGTCGATTGCGCTCAAAATTACGGTTGCAGTTAGCTGCAGCCAAAATCAACATATCTCTCAATTGTGTCTGATAACATGCTACTATTCGAAATAGAACAGATCTAGTGGATCTTCTTAAACCTTTTTTTTTCACTAATTTGAGAAAAATTATTAATTACATATTGTTGTTGGATAGTGGCAATTGAACAAGTAATACAATGCCAGATAATCATCTAACATCAAAATATATTTACAGCAAAACAATGATATTTCTGAAAGAGGTAATTTTATTGTCCCTGTCTATTACCTGCACCCCTTCCTTTAATTTTTCTATGTTTTGGCACAGGTAAACATGTTTTTCTGTAGCTTTTAGGCTTGTACACCTAGGCACAATAGAGTATTTGTAAGTCAGTGGTCACTTTTTACCCATTTTTACTGTTAATAGACCAAAGAGTGTGCGGCAGCTCATCGCTTTGTGCTAGCAATGGCAGCTGGTGTCATGTCATGTCATCACTCAGTATCATGCTCCAACAAGCTAATTCTCCAAATAAGAAATTTCTGGGTAGCATAACAGTCATTATTCAAGATATTAAAAAAAAATCAGTGCTGTACTTCACTTCACTTAGATGATCAAATAAACAAGGATATAATTATTTTCTGTCCACAGTCCCCACAACTAATCATATAAAAATGTTTCCTCCTTATCAGGGCTTATCAGTATGGGATATGTCTATATCTCATGAGAACTATTAACTAGGTTTGAGAAACCTATGGGTGGTTTGCATGAAAAAATCAAAAAATATGATAGAGAATCTCGCAAAATTAGTCGTAGATGGGAGCGTTTTGTCCTTATCAAAGCTCATCAGTACAACATAGGTCTATGCATCTATTTTATATGATACATACTAAATGTCAAGTCTATGAGGGGGTCATTAATTAAATTTTATAGCTGGAGCTGTATGAGTGGGTTGCATCAGGACCTCACAAAATTACTCAGATGGCACCCTTTCCTTCATAAAGCTGTGAATCTATTTCCATGGCAACTCTGTATATGCCAGTGAGTCAGGTTCCAGAGTTGAATCTGAATATTGTACCAAGTTGCATCATAAGTAAAAATAAATATCGACAAATCGTTTGGTGGTACTTACCCATTCTAAATTCCCATTGTGGACAGCCTATGGATCTTTCAGGTACTACTTCCAGGGTCAACATCGCAGCTTTGGGGTCTAGTGGCTGCAACACAATGTCATTCAATTTTACCAACTTACGTATGAACCCTTGCAGTTCTACGTAGTGTAAACTGATTAGGATTTATGTTTATTTATCAATTATCTATTCTTTGTTCGAACTCCGTCCAAAAGATACACCTGTCACAACATCAGCTGATTATATTTAGCTGTTGCCAATTTTCCCTCTTTTTTGGTAGTGCGTTGCCAGTGAAATGGATCGATTGTAACTTTGGATTGCACATGGTACCCACGTGATTTGAAGCCCCTTTACGGATTAGACGACTCGACTCCTTGTCCCTCCCTATTGCTGCACAGTTGCAGTCGCGGGATACAAGTGCTCGATTCACACTCGCAGTTCACATTATACTAGAGCAGTGTTGCCACATGATTTGTTAAATTTTTATGTTTGAATAAAATTGGTAACGGGAGTGGATGAGCGCCGCTTGGGGAGCAAGGGGAACTTGTCTTTCCAGTAAATTATACATTAAAATTCTAAAGGTATTCGACTGCGATCTTTCAATACTTCCAGCTATTTCTGATTTCGCTGATTTTTTAATATATTGCTCAACATTGTTTCAAATCCCACGCCAAACAGATCAAGAAAGTAGTGTAATTGCAAAAATTTTTAAATTCGATATATGCGTTTACTGTCCCAGAAGTGGCCTTGCAGCACACCTGCAACTCTGTGTAATACTGTTAAAAGCATAACCTTATTACTTTTTAGCTGTCATCGACCCCGCAAAAACTTTTGATTCGATTCATCTCAGCTGGTGTTTGTCTATCAAAAATATCGACAAGTAGATTGACTCTACATTTCCCAACGTCGTCATCCTTTCATAAAGGATTATGTTCAACACAAGCTGGACCCTATTGAAATATGACAGCGCCATGGACCTTCTCCTCCTGGATAGAGGATAGTTGCTATACTTTCGTTCGTAGACGAGAGACCAAGCCTAGACCATGGCTGATGAGTTGCCGAACAAGCATGAAACATTTAAAAAATTACTTACGAACATATACAACAGAGAGATTGAACGGTCCGTCAGACAGTTCCGTACAATTGGTCCATAACATTATATCTCTGTCCTACCCGTAGTACCGTCCATCTCGCAACTTCGCGAAGCGTTATGGGTCACACAAGGCAGAGCTGACAGAGCGCCAGTGATGCAGGACATATGCAAACACCGGCACACTGGCCGCGGCCCGTAGTCAGCAGTCATTTTTATAACGTTTTAAGGGCAAATGTACGTGGCAATCTATTAATTATGAAATATGCCTAAGATAGGTGCCTAGAATTATTGGGGTTGAAGTGTATTAATATAACATCAAAAAATTGCGATACACCCCCATCCACCCCCCTACAGCCCCTCCCCTCTATTGCTCGACCCTAAATTCAGGATTCTCTGAAACGTCAAAAACCGAAGTTTGAACGATGTTTATGTTTGCGATTTTTCGCGTTTCCGCGCCATTGGACAGTTTTTCAAAAACGATAAATCTGCCTTGGCATAGTAGTAACGTTGTTTGAACATTTTGTCAAAATCCTAGCGGTATTTTCCAAGTTACAGACGGCCCAAGGATTAGCGGACAGACAGGAAAACCCACGGAAATGCGTGAATGGTTTTTCATGATGTACATGTTTTATAACATTTCAAAAACTCATTTTCGAAAATCATTATCTCGACAAGGAAGCATTTGCGGACCCATGTTTATAGGACTTGTTCCACTCGAATTGACCTGAGGAACACTTAGGCCCGTATCGTCAGTCGTCCCTACAATTATAGGGCGCCTTTATGGCCTCCTTGATTGTCATAGTTTTCTACTTCTCCGTGTCAGCGCTCTATTTTGAGGTTATGTCACAAACATCTATTTGCATCAAATTGTGCTTGCTTTTGAGTTATATCATGTTTTATCAGCCTGAAATTTCCTACAATTTAAAAAGAAAACATATCTTCACAATAGGAGAGCGCTGACGCTGACACGGGCCTAAGGCCCATATCGTCAGTCGTCCCTACAATTGTAGGGCGCGTTTATGGCCTCCTTGATTGTCATACTCCTTTCTCTCCTTCAAAAATGTCTAGATTACACTTGTCCCGTGTCAGCGTCAGCGCTCTCCTATTGTGAAGATATGTTTTCTTTTTAAATTGTAGGAAATTTCAGGCTGATAAAACATGATATAACTCAAAAGCAAGCACAATTTGATGCAAATAGATGTTTGTGACATAACCTCAAAATAGAGCGCTGACACGGAGAAGTAGAAAACTATGACAATCAAGAAGGCCATAAAGGCGCCCTACAATTGTATGGACGACTGACGATACGGGCCTTAGAGAAATGTTGCCCCTTACCTCGTATAAGTAAAATATCGGAAGAATGACACGTCCTGTAGTTTAGTTTTTCATTTTTAAATTCCTAATGTTTAATCAAAACTTCTATACTGTTGCTATGTCAGAACTTTTCATAGTCAGTATGTTGGCTTTCCGTTATTCAATAAAATGTCCCAGCTGTGCAATATTTATGTCCTGTGTTCAATATTTCTATACATATACCAAAAATTATAAAGTTAAAACTCCTTATGAGCACTTTATAACACTAGATTATAAAATATATAATAATAATAAAATATCTCGACAACCAATAATCAGAACTCTTAATATGTTATACAAATCTTGTATTAGAAGAGTCTATTCTAATAAATAATGAAATGGAACATTCTATTTAGAAAAAAGTTGCCAATTTTTTTTTATTGCATTGTATCACATTTTATTGCACATTGCACAGGCAGACCCTTATAAATGAAAAGATTTTGATATAAAGCACATACAGCGTTCTGATGCTTGGTTGTTAAGTAATAAATGATACAGTATAGCAAAACGCTCAACTTCAGCACCCTGCCAGTCTAATTTTTGGTTCCAGAGTGGTAAAGTACTTAAGGAGTTTCGAAAAAAGGTGTGAAGTAATACCCATTTCATTCTAAAGAAATATTCTAAATAAATTTTGACATCCCCATAACCAAGGGCTGAAGCCTCATATCACGATTTGTTTGTGAAAAATTCGTCTCCAAGCACCAAGAAAAGAATTAGATGAGCATTACATCTGGCCGGAAAATGAAAAATAAAATAAGAAATGGTACAGACCGTCAATGTACAGATGAACTGTTAGCAGTCTACATTACAAGGGTGCTAAAATAAAGTGCTTAATCTTTCAGCCTAGAGACCGCAAAGATAAATGTAATGTAAATAATGTAAATTTTGTCACAAATACACTAGCACAAGTTTAATAAATACTTGCATAAGCAATAGATGATAAAATGATTCGAACAGTAAAAATAACAAACGAAACCAAATAATAGTAAAAGGTTGAATAAGAATGGATTACCGGTTTTGGCCTAGGTTGGGGCCGGGGGTCTTGATCTTGCATGCCAAATCCTCGAAGTAGATTCAATATAGGTATCATCTTTCTTAAACTGGTGGAATTATGCAGATACAAGGGTAGCGCTTGAGGCGATATCCGAAACGCACGAAATACTGTAAGCAAATGGGCATAGTAGGTAAACTGATAGGCATGACCGATGGGCAAAACCCCAGAAAAGCATGCAACCAACAAAATAATTGTCGTCCTTAGGGCAATAGAGATTAGAACTAACAATAGCTTTGTTCCAACAAACTATCGAATTAGTTTTGAACTGGACAGAACATGCGCAAGCCGAAAACGCCGTTCCCTGTTCCAACAAATTCTGAACCGGTTCTGACCTGGTTCTATGTTATAAATGAAAGTTCGAATTTGGTAGCGCATGCGCGTTTATACAATAGTGGCTGGGAAGCTGGATTTTGTGACTGCCATTCTGTGCCTTTTCTAACTTAACAATCTTCTCATATACATCGAACCTAAATCTCATTGTCACGTTTTTATAAAATATATTAAAAAATTGTGTGTCGAAAATTACTTTGAAACAAATTTAAGTAAGGACGAAGATTTTGAGATGATTTTAGGATTTCCAAGAACGAGCAATGAAAATAACATAGCCAAGTGATGAATTATTTAATTAATCATGTTATTAGTAATATTAGCCTTTTATAGTCCTATCATTCAGAGTCAATTAAAGATTATTGATGCTAAGATTCTACTTAATTTCCTCCTCCGCTACAGTAGCAGAGCATGGTTCCTCTAGAGATAAAATTCTTCCAGCTCTAAAGAAGACAAAACTTCGTACTACTTTTATAAAATATTTCACCAAACTATATAATTCATCTCTTGTTAAATCTGTCAACTCGTATTACCATTGTCTTAAAACGATTTTCAGTACGCCAAAAAATAATAAATTATCTCGTATACGGAAGCTTCATAACTTTAAATTTGACTTAAATTAAGTATATTTACGACAAGCCATGTTAATAATTTGATTAATAATTAATGATTATCTGTTACAACATAATAGTGAGAAATTAGTTCTGTACTAGTTTGGGGAACTGCTTGTTGGAACAAACCTTATATACCTGGAAGTCAGTGAACATGCTTGTTGTAGCCTGGCGAGCTGAAGACTCGACCTTTCCTTATCTCGGGTTTTAGCAATGACTTGAGGCATCGGCGTGCGCACGGAAAGTGGAGGTGATTTTGTGCGAAAAATAAAGGTGACATTGAGCCGTATTCATAAAACAAAGGATATCCTTCTACTTGCAAATTTTGAAGGAAATCATTCAGATGGTATTTATAATGATTTGAAGTAAATGCTTTTGCTTTTTGAGTATAAGCATATCCTTCAAAGCAGTGACATAAGCAAACGGATATGATTTTAGGATTTCCAAGAACGAGCAATGAAAATAACATAGCCAAGTGATGAATTATTTAATTAATCATGTTATTAGTAATATTAGCCTTTTATAGTCCTATCATTCAGAGTCAATTAAAGATTATTGATGCTAAGATTCTACTAAATTTCCTCCTCCGCTACAGTAGCAGAGCATGGTTCCTCTAGAGATAAAATTCTTCCAGCTCTAAAGAAGACAAAACTTCGTACTACTTTTATAAAATGTTTCACCAAACTATATAATTCATCTCTTGTTAAATCTGTCAACTCGTATTACCATTGTCTTAAAACGATTTTCAGTACGCCAAAAAATAATAAATTATCTCGTATACGGAAGCTTCATAACTTTAAATTTGACTTAAATTAAGTATATTTACGACAAGCCATGTTAATAATTTGATTAATAATTAATGATTATCTGTTACAACATAATAGTG